GATTTGGAAGGGGCAGGAGCAGCAGTTGATTCTTTCTTTCTCTCTCACTGTTTAAAAATAGAGCCTGAAAACCTGAATGATTTTCTACCCCACTGGCTCCTCCTCCTCTGTCCTTGGTAGACATTTCCTTCCTACCAGGCTTTCATTGTAAATAAATGAATAAACAAACAAACAAATAAATAAATTCAAATACATGGCTACATTCTTTTTTTTTAAATGAAAAGATAAAGCTCCAATCATCTATCCTTTCTGTCCATAAGTCCAGTTTAGTTCCCTCCGAAGTTCCCACAGTTGTTATTTTATTGCACATTCTTCCACACCTTCCCTCTGGCCACACACATTCACGAGGGGCAGAATGCGCAATGGCTAGGGGTTTGGTCTCTGCAGATGGCTTTCTCGGGTCCAAATCCTGACTGTGTCACATACAAATTGTGTGACCATGAAGCTGCTTAACCTCCCTGGGCCTCAATTTCCTCAATCTATAAAATGGGAATGATAACATTACCTACCTCATAGGGTTATTGTTAACATGAAGTGAATTAATATGTGCAAAACACTTTAAACTACCTGACATAGGACAAGTGCTGGGTGTTATTACTTATACATACACATGGGAAAAGTGGAGCATTGTTTTGCAAATTAAAAAAAACCCACAATGATTTCAAATGCCTTTATATCGGCGATTTACAACCAGTGTGCCGCAAGAGTCTTTAAAAGATGCAATACCTAGTCAGGTGCACTGACCTCTCTTCCCTTAGATTGTCAAATTAAAAAAAATGACAACAGCCAATGCAGCAATAGCAGTCCAGTGTTACTGAATCAAAATTGTACCTATTTTTTTTGGTCAGATTGGCCAAAAATGTATTTTTTGGTGTGCCACAGGATTTTAGGAATTAGTTTCTGTGTGCCATGAGATAAACAAGTTTGAAAATCACTGATTTATATCAATCAGCACTCTGTTTTTTAACTCAAAATGTGTCTTAAAGATACCTTTCTATTAGCTTGGATGTATGAAATTCTTTGAACATCTGCATAGCTTAGTATTCCATTCTATAGGCAGATTCTTTTTTTTTAACATTTTATTTATTTACTTTTAGAGAGAGGAGAAGAAAGAAAGAGAAACATCAATGTATGAGATTGGTTGTCTCTCACGCATTGCCTCTCACACCCCCCAACTGGGGACCTGGCCCACAACCCAGGCATGTGCCCTGATTGGAAATCAGACCAGCGACCTTTCAATTCACAGGCAGGCACTCAATCCACTGAGCCACATCAGCCAAAGCTATAGGTAGGTTATTGAAATAAGCCCCTGTATATGGACATTTAGGTGGTTTCCAATTTCTCACAACTACAATGCAACGGCCTACTAAGTGATTTCCCTATTTCCGCTTTGTTCCCTTTCCCTCTGTTTTCAGCATAGCAGCCAGTTATTTCATTAAAAGCAGAGAGTAAATCAATGCTCAAAACCCTCCCAGGACTTCCACCTCATTCAGGGTGAAAAATCAAAGTCCTTATAATGGCCTAGTTGGTCTGCATCCTGCCCCAGAATATCTCTGGCTGCAACTCCTGATATTCTCCTCCTTGTCCATTTGACCCAGTCACCCTGTTTCCTAGCTATTTCTAAAACATTCCTGCTATGCTCCTGTCTTTGCGCTTGGCTGTTCCCTGTGCCTGGAACATCTTCCTTCAGTTATCTGCATGACTCACTCCTTCACTTTCTTCAGGTCTTTGCCCAAATGTCCCTGACCCACCCTGTTGAAAATTGCAAAGCTCATTTACAGAGATAAGGCCCAAACAGTGATAGCTGAAATTGTGAATAAAATGAACCAGATGTGTCTCCCTTCCAGCTCTAAAATTCTGTGTTGCTGATTTCAGGCCTCTCTGTCTCTCATTCATGAAGAATGGGAACTTGAGACAGCCTAGAATGTAATCAATGCAGAAGGAATGAAAAGAGAGGAATCCTTTGGACCAGACTTACTTACCTCTTGTTGATTCTGGAAGGACTCGGGAAGTTCTTGCACACACCCTGGCCTCCTGGCATTGCCCCATTCACTCACCCACTGACTCACTGGGCACCCTCTGCCTAGTAGGCCCTGGAGACAGCACAGTCTGATGCCCTCTCCCTCCTAATATAAAGCAAGCTCTCTCTGCCTCCGCCCTCATCCCAGGCCTGGCTTCTCTCTGGCCCCGCACGTAAGTGGAGCTTGGATGAGGTATCTATTGAAAGTGCACAGTCACAGCCCAGGCAGATCCTGCCCTCCCTTTCTGTCAAGTCCCTCCTTCCTTCTCTTATTGTCATCCACCCTTCAGGGCCTGGGAGTGAATGATTTTGCATTTATCACCTCCTAAGACACTATAACATTCGTTTATTTTCCTTATTTGGTATTTGTCTTCACTTAGAATGTCAGCCGCCTCAAGACAGAGAGTTTATCTGTGTTTTTACTGCTGCATGACCACACTTAGCCCAGTGACTGACACAGAGCAGGCCCTCAATAACTGCAGTGACTGTGTCTCTGTGAGAAAATGGGTGCGAGTATGTCTCTTGGAACTAAACTTAGAAATAAAAATTCTAGGTTGCAAGGCATATATGTTTGTCATTTTAGTAGATGTGACCAAGTTGTCCTCTAAAGCAGTGGTACCCATCCATTCTCCTACCTGCTGAGTTCCCTTGCAAATCCTTGATACTTTCCAACTTTTAATTTTGGTCAATCTGATGAATGAAAAAATGGTACCTTTTGGTTTAAATTTCCCATACTACTAGTAAGGCCAAGCAACCTTTCATGACTTTAATGGCCAGTTTTGTTTCTTCTTCTGAGAATTGGCTATTTTCCCCACCTTTTTCCTATTGAATATATATATTTTTTTGATCCTTTCCTCTGGAGAGTCATAGGAGACATTTTTTTCACATTCTGGGTTCTAATCCTTTGTTGTATATGTTGAAAGTATTTTACCTCTCAGTCTTGTTTGTTTTTCTTTTGTCGAACAGAACTTTAAAATTTTGGTTTGGTTGGTCTTTTCTTTTGTCTTAATTTTTTCTTATATCTTACTTTAAAATTTCTTACCCCAACATCATCAACATATTCTTTTAAGATTTTAAAACATTAAATTTTTAAATATACCTAGGGTTTTAATTCCTCTAAAATTTATTTTTGTAACTGCTACAGGATAAAAATCTAATGTAATGTTTTTCCCCCAAATGAAAAGCAAACGTCCCAACTCCATTATTTATCTGATTTGAAATTCCAGTCAGATAAGTCTAATTCCAAATTGGAATAATTCTGTAATCTAATTCTAAATTCTGATACACGTGGGTCTGTTTGCGGACTAATAACTTTTCTATTGGTTAAAAAAATTTCTACGGCAATACTCTATGTAAAAAAAACCTTTTCTTTTGTGTAAATTTTCAAACACATACCTGTACATGAGTATGGATATGCATATGTGTCATGAACCTATCACTCAGCTTCAACAATTACCAATTTTTGGCTAAACTTGTTTCATTTATACTTCCACCTCCTTTCCTCCCCTACATACTCCCAATTATTTTGAAGCAAATTCTATAGTCATTTCATCCCTACCATTTCTGTGTGTATCTCTAAAAATAAGAAGTACTAAAAAACAAATAAACCAAACTAAATTGAAAGAAACAAAAAGCCCTCATTTATTTTTTTGAAAAAACTAGATCTTGAGTCCTGTAGAGTTTTCTCATCTGGATTTTGCTGATCGTGTCCCTATGGAGTCAATTAACCATATTTTAAAAATTACTATAATTTCATAATATGTTAGTTTATGAGATCTGGTATGGCAATTTCCCTCTCTTATTTTTCAAAATTCGATGCCACTTCTTGTGCGTTTCTTCTTCCATTTACATTTTGTAATGAACTTAGCAAGTTTCATAACAAAACCTATTGGTATTTTCATTGGAATTGCCTTGAGCTTTTATTAGGGAGAATGAACATTTTTATAATATTGGATTTTCCCAACCATTAATAATGTATATCCATCTTATTTAATTACTTTTAGAGTTATTCAACAAAACATTACAGTTAATTTTTCCGTAAGGTCTTAGGTTTATTTTTTATTTATTTAAAAGATTTTATTTATTTTTAGCCAGAGGGGAAGGGAGGGAGGCAGAGAAACGTCGGTTGTCTCTCGCAGCCCCCAAGTGCCGACCTGGTCGCAACCCAGGTATATGCCCCAACCTAGAATCCAACCAGTGACCTCTCAGTGCACAGGCCTGGCTCAGTCCACTGAGCCACACCAAACAGGGCAATTTCTAAAAACTTGGTAGCTTGTGTTGTTATTATGGACGGTGATATTTTTGTTCTCGTACTTATTATTTTCTAATTGATTATTGATGATGTAAGAATTAAATTCTTAATTTAAATCCCAGCTCCTCTGCTTATCACGTGATTTGACAAGTTTACTCAACTTCTCTGTCTTTGTTGTCTCTTCCACACCATGAGAGTAAAAACACTAGCTTTGTAGACGGAAGGACCATGCACCCAATAAAGCGCCGTTTTAAAGCAGTAACGTCAGGGCGCAGACTGGAGAGAGAATTTGAGGGACTCCTTCATTGGCAGAGAAGCTGAGGGTGATCTATCCTGCACGCCGGGGATTCCGAATTAAAAGGAAGTGAACCCCTATGATTATTCAGGCACAGTGCACAACTCTAAGGAGAATATTAAATTGTTTTTCCCCTCGAAAGTTCTGGGGAGGTCTAGGATCGACGATACTCTGTTACCGAAACCGACTCCCCATCTCTTCATTCGGTACCACCTTTCCCAAATATTTTGGAGCCCAGCATTCTGGGCTTTGTAGTAAATTCCTAATTAAAGAGGTTCCAATGGGCTCACGTAGTCGCCTGAGACTACGTTTCCCAGAGGCCTTCGGGGCAGGCTGTTTGCCCGTTCGCCATCGTGACTTCCGGCGTTTTGCGACCTCTAGAGCCAATCGGAAGACTGAGATCACTGGGTCCTGGCAGTCTGATTGGTGCATTCGACTGGAGACCCTGGGTTCAAATTTTCAACGGTACTCCATGAATCCCGCGGCGTTTCTTGCGGGTGCTTCGCCGTTGCAGCTGAGTCCAGGTGAGCCAAGGGGAGAAAAGGGGAGCAGCTGCAGCGCGGGAGTGCCTTCTCCTAATTTTCGAGCGGCTGGAGGTTGCTTCCAAATTTCCAGTCGGTCCGCGCGTTTCTGGGCCCGGGCTTCTGAAGCTTTTGTTGGGCGTTGTCCTGGTCCGGGCGGAGTGGGAGCAGGGCTTCCAGACACCCCTGTTTTCGTTACAGGATTTTCCCGAGAAGTCTGTCCACGGCCAGTCTGTTGGGCTGTATCTGGAGGTAGAGGTGGGGGCGGGTCGTGGGAAGTAGGCGGAAGGAGTTGCGAGAGGCTGTAGGGGCTACTAGTAATGGTAGCAGTTGTTACTAACCACGCACACATGAAATAAGCATTTTCTGGGATAAGCACTCAGTGTGCGCTTTCTCAGTTAATTTTCACATCAAGCCAATGAAGTAGGCGCTATTCTTAGCCCCACTTGGTAGAGAAGGAAACTGAGGTCCACAATCTAGATAAATTTAGAGAAATGGGTGACACGGTATCCTTGCCCTGAAGAATGGTTGCATTTGGTGAAGGGAAACAGATGTGGTCACAACTACATTTCAGATGTTAAATTCCCCTGGTCGAGCCACCCCTATATTACCCTTGGTTTGGGAGTTGCATTGTTGAGTGTGTCAGCTCAGTATGAAGTTGTCACTGCTGGGATCAAAATGAGTGTAGCTCCCAGCTCACTTGGCTAATTAATTGCCTTTTGAAGGACTACTGTATGGTGTTCGATACTGTAGTTCTGTCATATATGGTGTGCTTAGTCAAAGGATTTTCTGGTATGTTTGAGGGCAAAAGACGGATTCCAGTGGACAAGTGACAACCAGAACAAATTAAGATGGCATCTGAGTGCTCTGCTGTTTTGTATTGTAAGTGCCCTGGCAATTGAGAGGTGAGGAAGATCAATGAAGCTTAAATATAGATAAGGGTGTCTTTGTGAAGCAGCTGGGACCCTAACTGGCTCTTGATAAGTGAAGTTTGTGAGCCAGGAACTAGAACAGTCTTGGTATATAGACATCACCCTAGTTGACTAGGCAGGAGGGCATTATGTAAATTGACTACAAAATTGCAGGTATGAAAAAATGGACTTATTCAGCTAGGTTGGTAAATTTATTTAAACTTTGAAGTCATATAAATAAAATAGGGTTACTTTGGCCAACATTATGCTTAAGTCTGTGTATTCTAATCTGAATTTATTCTACAGTTGCAGTTAAGCTTCTCTAGGAGATGGGACTGTGGAGGAAGGTCCTTCATTTCTTGTTTCCCCATGAGGAGAGGTTCACAGTTCTTCTATATCCCCTGTATATTTGGGTTTTTTCTCCAGCCTTTTCTGGATCTCTTCCCTAATTCTTTTTGAGTTGCTGGAGAAGAAAGGAGGAGAGATTCAAATGCCCCTTCGCAAAACTTAATTTTCTTTGCCGTGGGTAAAGGTAGGAAGCAGAATGGATGACAGGGAGCTCAAACAGCTAGAGCAGTTCTGTGAATAGATCTGCCTTTGAGACAAGGATGTAGAGATCATCCTTGGTTGTGAGGATGGTGTAGGTAACTGGGAGGGGTTCTCTTTTTATTTGTTTGCATAGAGAAACTTGATTAGGGGGAGTTTAAAGCTTGATTAGGGGGAGGGCTGTCTTACTTGATTAGTGAGACAGCCCTCCCTATTTGTGAGGGATAGGAGGGGGAAAAAGTATAGGGAATAAGTAGCATAAATGGTAGGCAGAAAATAGACAGAGGGAGGTTAAGAATACTACAGGAAATGTAGAAGCCAAAGAGCTTATATGTACCACCCATGGACATGAACTAAAGGGGGAGAATGTGGGTGGGAGGGGGTGGGCAGGACAGAGGGGAATAAAGAAAGGAAAATGGAACAACCGTAATAGCATAATCAATAAATATATTTAAAAAATTAATCAGAAAGGTGAAAGTTGTATGAAGGAGCTTACTTTGGAAAATTTTTTAAAATGCTATTTCTACTTTTTAAAATAAAGTGGTAAAAGTTTTTTCATATTTTAAGCGTGCCAACTATTTTTCCTGTTTGAATAGGACAGAAGTACACATTACCACTCCAAAATTGCAGGTTTTGGAAAGGTTTCTATAAAATGGGGGAGTAGGTCACATGAGGGACACCAGGAGACAGCAAATGTACCCTAAAAAATTTTTAAGAACACTTTTACATTGATGAAACAACATGCTGTTAAGTTTGGCATTTGGAGATCTCCACAACTTAGACCTTAGCTCTCAGAGCGCTCTCTGGTTTTGAGAGAGGGTCTCCTTGGTGTTATGTTATAGCTCCTTCCTGTTCTCTGTGAACCTTTTTTACTACAGAGAATTTGAACCCGTTTCATCATCTTTCTGTTTCTTCCAGGTTACTGGAAAACTTGCTAGACTTCAAGATTTCAAAAGAGACGCAAGATTGCAAGTGTGATTGGACTGACAGATTAAACCACAGGTAAGGTTGTGTCCATGGTGAGTTATATTAAAAAAGAGCAAGGGAAGCATTAATATATTAGCTTCAGAAGTGTTTAAATATGTTTAACCTATCTTAATGAAGTAATGGGTTTTAGAACAAAATTTAATTGTGGGAAAGCAAGAGAAAACAATATAACACATTATTCCCCTTCTCATTAACTATGGCTAACATTTTGATAGGTTTCTTTCCAGTGTTTTTTTGTGCCTGTATTTGGTTTCAAAAAATCATGCACTTGAAAACCTTCATTTTTTCCCTGCTTAATAGAGTATGAACATTTTTTCATGCCATGAAAATTTCGTAGAGCCATAATTTTAATGATTATGTAATATTCCATTACTGTATGGTTCTACTGTGGTATTTTACCCAGTGGAGTCATTCATCAGAAAGAACGCATATTTTTAAGACTTTGGTACATAACACCAAATTGACTATTGGGAAAATTATGCTGATTGACATATCCACTGACAATGTACAATGTATTCACACTGGCACAGATTTATATATTAAAAATATGTAATACATTTGTATCATGCAAAAATCACAATAATGTAAAAAGACTTAAAGTAGTTAAAAAATCTTCCAACCCTGTAACTGTCTACCTCACTCTGTGTCTCCCCATAGATAATCACTTTCTTACAAAATTTTTAAAAAGATTTTATTTATGTTTAGAGAGAAGGGAAGAGAGGGAGAAAGAGAGGGAGAGAAGCATCAATATGTGGTTGCCTCTCATTCACACTCCTGCTGAGTGCCTGGACCACAACCCAGGCATGTGCCCTGACTGGGAATTGAACCAGCCATACTTTGGTTTGCAGCTTGGGGCTCAGTCCACTGAGCCACACCAGCCAGGGCAATAATCACTTCTTTAGGTTCTTGGGGGTTTGTTGTGTATATTTCCCAAACCACTTGAAGGATATAAATCTTTACAAGTGATTGAAATTTGATGAGGATTGTAACCTGCGGCCCCACTGTCCACCCTTACAAACTCTTCCAGCTTCTCACTCTTGGAACATCAGAAACACTTGGATATTCTACAAAGATTTTCTGTTAGTATCCTACAAAGATCTGTGTCATTATTTGGTGTAGAGGTAATGGCATCATTGATTTCTATCCAGGTCCTGTTGTATAAGAGTGGATTATGGTGCAGGGGTGTCCTACCTTTTCGCATTTCTGTGCCACACTGGAAGAAGAGTTGCCTTTGGCCACTCATGAAATATGTTGTGACACATAATGACAAATCTCATATTGTTTTAAGTAAATCTACGATTTTGTGTTGGGCCGAATTCACAGCCATCCTGGGCTGTACGCAGTCCGCGGGCCGCAGCTTGGACACTCCCGGACAGAGTCTATAAATAAATTCAATAAAGCAGAACTGAGTAATTCTTCCAAGAGAGTATAGGGAATTCACACGTTTGAGAGAGAAATCATAGAAAAATATATTTGTTGGAGGTTTCTGGACAGTGATGAATTAAAACAAGTGTCCTGTGCTGACTTCTGAGTGCTTGGACAGAGGGATTGTCATTGGATTTTAAATTGACCCAGTTTTGGAAGCTTCATAGATCTGTTTCTGTAAACAGATCCAATTTCAACATGGAAGTTAGCAAACTTAAATGTGGAAATACAAAATCCATTAACATCCTTCAGACTTAGTTTTTGATTTAGGTTAACAGTTAAGATTGCATGCTGGATTATGTTGCCACTTACTGACTCCTGCTGATCTCTATGTACAAAAAAAAATGTAGGTGTTTTCTCCCTGGGTAAGATGAAAATAACTCAACTCTATTTAACTTGTGGTATTGTAACACGATCTCTTATCCCTTGTGAAAGTAGGAGAGGGTGTCCCTGGGGAAATGGCATGGCCTGGGATGGGACCATCGTAACTAAGACTTCTAATGGAGTCTTGGGTTGCTCTGTTTACTCTGTGACATTACCAGTTGTTTCACTCCTCATTTTTTTCCTGCAGTAGAAATAGGCAGAATACAGTTTTAGAGCTGGATATCGAGGTTCTCAATTGAGAGTATCTATCACACCGAAGTCTTTGTCTTGCTTAGGAGCTGCTAGTCCACTACTTCAGCCTTGCTTAGAATGCCCCCTCTTTTGCCATTTCCCCCCACCTGCACCTTTTGATTTATAGAGCTTGTCAAAGCTAGTTATTTTTGGTTTGAGAGTGAAGAGAGACAGGAGGTGATATAGGTTCATTTCAGATGACTGTGGGAACAGGTTGTGTTGCTGCTTTTGCAGTCGTCCTCAATTGTACGCTTTACCCCCATTTGATTCCTCTTTCCATTTACCTCCTCCCCTAGAAAAGTCAACTTTCATCCTTAGCCTATAGAACTCAGCCGCTCAGCTCTGTATCACTTTTACCAGAAGCCTGCTCTGACCCTTCTTCACTCTACCTCTTCTCTGCCCTTCCGTAGTTTATCCTTAGTTGCCCTGGGTTCATACCCCACTATAGCAAGGGTCATAACTGTATCCTCCATCCAACTTTGAGTTCCTTAAGGGAAGGGATTATATATATCCTTTCAGTCTTTGTTTTTTTGGGGGGATGATCTTTGTTTAACTATACGACACGATGGATGGCACTTAACAAACAGTTTTTAAAAGGAAACTAACTAGTTCATAACATATGGGAGAGCCTTTTTTCTTAAGTCTGTTGTAGATTTATTTTTCAGAAAGAGTTATTTTTTCACGTATGTTTCTACATTTGCAGGAATCTGAAGCTATGGTGCATTTAGGTAATTTTGAAATGTAATGCTGACTTTTGAAATATAATACTGATTCTCTTTCTCTTGCTTGGCAGCTTAATTTGTTTGGGGGAATACGGTTGACTCATGTGGTTTGTTGTTTTTTTTTTTTTTAGTGAGACCTGTTGACAGAAATTCAGTCTTGATTAAGGGGGGTGCAGGAAGGTATCCAGTTCCCACCATGCATGAGGCTCTCTCATTTGTTTATTTATTTATTTCTCTCTCTTTTTTTTTTTTTTTAGGCTCTCTCATTTAAAGTTGGCTTTGGCCCTGGCCTACTCCATTTCCTACTAGGCTTGTGCTCTTTAATTTTTGAAGGTTTTACATCCTAACAATTATAGTTTATGGAAGAGGCAGTGAAACTGGCATGACTCCGTAGTTACTTTGGCCTTGTTCATGGCTCGTGCTGTCCATCCCGTTGCTGAGGAGCGCCGCACTTCTCAGAGGCTGTGCATTTACTTGTTCTCATCTTTTGGGGTGGGGGGATGATCTGCTGAGTTGGCCATGCTGTACCAAGATGGCTCAAAAGAAGCTCTTTGTAAAGGACGTCATGCTAAAAACAGTATTTTGGTTTTAAAATAACAGCTAAATAAAGATTAGGTGTCTTTGAGGCCCTTGCCTTTTAACCCCCACCAATTGCATGCAGTCGGAGACCTCTGAGGCCAATCTCCTTCTGGTGTTTGAATAACCTCTTCATAGTGTCTTTCTTTCTAGAATATCCAGTGAGAGGTTCAGGCTCACCTTACGTACAGCAAAAACTTCATGTACAAGAGCACAAACTTAGAAAAAGAAATTAAGGGGCAATGTTTTACTTTATGGGAAGATCCAGCTCAGAGCTTTTCTGATATATTTAGAATAGGATTTTTAATTTATCGGTATTCCTGATGAACAACTTGTCAGGGATGCTTCATTTTTGTGAGGAGGAGAGTTTTATTTTTTATTTTTTGGTCTAACAGATCAGTAAAATTTGGTTCACGACCTCATTTTTAAAGGCATATTTGTGGGAAACTCTGCATGTTATGATGATTCCAGATTTTGGAGCCCCACGGACCCACTGTTAAAACAACACCGCTACACTGGGTGGTAATTGAAGTGGCTTAACTTGTCTGAACCGGTTCCCTTGTTTGAAAAGTGATGATATCTATCTTTTATATTGTTAATTCACTTTAAATGAGATGATTTATGTGAAGTGCGTGGTAAGGTACTCAGCCTACTGTAGACAGTATTTAGAATTCTTACTTATAAATGGTTTTGTCTCTTGCTTCTTAACATTTGATATTGATCTATACAAATATCTATTTTTAAGTAAATATGAGAGGCAGTAGATGGTGCAGTGGGTAAAGACATACCTTTAGGGCCTGTCTGGGCTTGAATTCTGGCTCTGCTGCTTCTTACCTGTGTTGCGACTGAACAAACAGTAAATAACACTGTCCCTCAGCTTCCGCTTCTGTAAAACAAAGGTGTAACAGCACCTACTTCATAGGGTAATTGTGAGGGTTTAGTGACTTAATGTAAAACATTGCCCACGGTGCCTGGCCTGTTGTAAGCACCCAGTAATTAACAGTTACTATTTTTAATTTTTTTTTCAAGTTTACAAACCTTTTTATTCAGGCAATACCCAGGAACATTTTATTTTTATACAAAAACATTACAAAAGAGAGGATGTATAACATTGGACATGTGAGAGTTAGTAGCCTATTTATAGACCGTGCAAATGGGCAGCATTATTTCCAGAAATCCAGAGTTTTAACAGTTATTGCTAGATTTAAGAATATTTAATAAAAATTTCAGAAAGCTCTATAAACATAGATATAGGGGTATTTATTATACTGCTTAACCAGTTCTTTAAGCTGAAAAGGTATGCATTTATATAGTAAAACATATTCAGAGAGTATCAAAGTTCATATAATAAAAAGATTTCTTCTGATTCAGAACTCCCAGCTCTCTTCCCAGACAAAAGTATTGTCAACATTTTTGAGTCTCCTTCCATAATAGACTGTGTATGTACAAGGGTACGAATAAGTACATATCACCCTTTTTTCTCTTTTTAACATGAATGGGAACATGCACTTCTGCATTTCTGCATTTTGCTTTTCTCACTTAATAGCCTGGAGCTTATTTTGCACATATAACCACATAGGAAAAGTTACTTACTATTTTATTATATATATGTTTGTGCCATAATTTAGTCAACAAATCTCTTTATTGTTGGAATTTGGGTTTTCAGTTTTTTGGGGCTTTTATGTACAATTCTGTAGTGAACTTTCCTATACTTACATATATGCATAAATACATATGTAAAAGATAAATTTTTATGTTTGGAAAGATCCCTCAAAAAGAAAAATGCAAGTAGCCTCCAAAGCAGCTGGCAGTGTGAGAGTCTGAGGGGGGTTACATTTGATTACTTTCCAGGTGGTTTTCAGCAGCATGCTTTGGTGGAATCATGATTTTTAGGAGGCTAAGTGGGGTTGCTGCAAATTACATTCCTGCCTCTTCCCTCCTCCAGCTTTAGTCGTCTTCATTACATCCCTGCCTGGGAAGTGTTCCCAGTGACCTGGGTTAGGCATTAAGATCATGGGAATCCAGGATTTTCCCATGTCTTCCAGCATATTTGTTCACAAGAACAGGAGAACTTCCTCCTTGTAGAAGGGGAATTTTAACTACTGTTAGTCACTGGGGAATCTCTCAGTAAGGGTCCTTTGAGTAGAAATTTGGTCAAGGAGAGGAAAGGTATCAGTAAGTCAAAAGCAGTGATAATATTTTATGGTTGTATGTATTCATAGCATTCAAAATATCTCCTAATTTTGTTTATGGGAAGTAGGTAGGCAGAAAGGTAGTGACTTGCCTGTTGCCATATACATCTAGTAAATAGCAGAGGCAGGGCGAGAATCCTGGACTTCTGTGTTTGTTGGGATTCTTTTTAGCTATAAGTGACATAAAATGTAACTGTAGTGGCTTATACAAAAACAGTATTACTGTCTGGACATAGGTGGCTGCTGATATTTGATCATCAGTGATCACTCGCTCAGTGAAGTCAGGGTCAGTGTCTGCCCTTAGCCATCCGCTCATGCGTACATGAGGGCTGGTGTACTTGTAGCCATTGTAACTGCCTTCAAGGCAAGAAGGAAGGTGAAAAGAAAGGGTAGGGACAGGCACTGCAGCTGTATCAGGAATTAAGAGTTTTCCTATGACTCCTACAGCAGATGTGTAGTTTTCTCTTTGGCCAGAACTGTCCTGTGGCTACTCCCAAGCTTGGAAGGTGGCAGTCAAGAAGGTGACTTTCATTATAGTATGCTTCCTACTGTGTTGATGATGTTCAATGAAAAATATTTAACAATGGCTTGACTTAAGCTATGTTAATATCTAATTTCCTTTATACTTAAAGTTCATACTATAGAATATAAATATTGTGTACTATCTTGTTTATTGAGAATATAGGACTTTGGCTACTGTCTAGATTTAAATCCCTTTGTGTCTGAGACCAGACCTACTTTTTGTATGAGACTTGGTGTTTCATTCTTGAATATTAGTGAGAAAGGAGCTTCAATATCATCAAGACTACATCTTATGGCCCTTAGCAAGTGTATGAGTGGATCGCTAAGAAATGGCTTATTGAGTTAAGTTGAATACTGAAAGTAGAAACGAGGGACAGTGAAATAATAATAAAGAATTGTCTATTTAGTGCAGAAGACTATGGAGAATAGATCTGCTTGGGAATAAATACGTCAGTACTTTCTATGAAAATAGAAACCTTAACTACATTAATGCACTTCTGTAACTCACAGGGTGAGAGGGAAGAACAATATGGAAAGAACGTGGTGCTGAATGAAGTCAGGATCCTCAGTTCTAGATCTAACTCAGCTTTTATGTAACTGTGCGATATTGGGCAAGTCACTCATTTATTTATGCTTTATTTAGTTATTTTTAGAGAGGGAAAGGGAGGGAGAAGGAAAGAGAGAGAGAAATACTGATCAGTTGCCTCTTGCATGTCCCCAGCCTGGCACCTGGTCTGAAACCCAGGCATGTGCCCTGAATGGGAATTGAACCAGCAACCTTTCAGTTTGCAGGACAACAGCCAACTCACTGAGCCACACCAGTCAGGGGGTGGGCAAGTCAGTTAATCTCTCTTACCTTCAGCTTCCTCTTCTGGGGCCGGGATGATAATTACTGCTTTACAGGATTGACAAGAGTATTAGGGATAATACGTACTTAGTGTGTCATGGTACCTGCCACACCTCAGTGCCTTTGGTAACTGTTTTTACCATGATCATTAGTATTATTGCTGTCTGATCTTGGATGACCCCTTTTGCATCTACTAATCCTTATCTATAAACTGCAAAAGTTATTTGTTATCTAAGATCCCTCCCAATTCCAAAATGTCGAGTTTCTACGCTCAGTTGGGGCATTATTTAAAGGTAGCTATAGAGTTCCGATTACATAGGGAGACCATGGGAAGATGACATTTCTTTAGTGTGTAGGTTGAAGTCACTGTATAAGCCAAACAGCTCAGAACAAATGTGTCTGAAGAACTAAGGTAGCTTCTGAATTATCCCAGGCCACTGAGAGAAGCTAATGAAATGCTGGCTAAACCACTGAGAAGTAATGAAGTTGGATGTAACGAATATTACGATTTCTCTCGGTGTATAGTAGTGGTATAATGTAGAGAAAATGAACACTGAGGGCCATCAGTGCCTGGAATTGGTGACCGTCTGGGGAGCTGGCACACCTTTCTGGTAATGCGAGTGGGTGTCACTCTTCTGAGGAACATTTTCACAGTATGTGTCAAGAGCCAGCAAGTCCATCTTTAAGAATTAAAAAAAAATACTTATTTTTAGAAGGAGGGTAAAGGAGGGAGAAAGAGAAGAAGAGAAATATTAATATGTGGTTGCTTCTCACACACCCCCCAACTGGGGATCTGGCCCATACCCCAGGCACATGCCCTGACTGGGAATCGAACTGGTGACCCCTTGATTCACAGGCTGGCGTTCAATCCACTGAGCCGCACCAGCCAGGGCCATCTTAAATTACTTTAAGGGAAGAATTATGATTGTGTACTGAAATTCAGCTCCAAGGATATTTTTCTAGTAGTATCTTTAAAGTGAAAATAGTGGGAAAAGCCTAAATGTAGGGGATAGGTCAACCAGTATAGTCATCCACTGATGATATACTGACATTTACTGGCATAGAAATATGTGAACATATGCAAATGTCAGATGATCCTATTTTTTTTAAGTTTGTATATATGGAGTGGGCAAGAGAGGCTGGAATAGTGTGGCATCGTAGATTTTTTAAAAATCTACAAACTTTTTGTGCTCTAATTTTTTAGTGAGCATGTATTTTTATAACATTAAGGGCTTAAAGAAAGATACTTAATTTGACAAATGTGTATGCAAGAGATTACTAGCATCCTCTTCTCTTCCAAAATACAGACCACCTTACATACATGCTGTTCCCTGGGTGAAGACAAATGGCTCGTTGGGTTTCATAGGAAATTTTTTGCCAGTGAGTGTGGCCTTTAGGCTGTTTTTCAGTCCACTTCCAGCTCTTTTTCACTGGTACAGGCTGGAGTGGGGGCCGACTTTAAACCCGCACAGGTTTCCATAGTGCAGAGTGTAGAATGGGTGCGTAGGACGGGCCCGTGTCTTTGACTTCTTTCTTTTACTTAATCTACATGTCATACCTTATATATATATATTTAAAGCCTTTTTCTTCATGCCCAGGAGCAATATTTTTATGAAAATAAGGAAAGAAAACCTATACTTGGCAAAACTGTATTGAACTCTTACTAAATATAAGATACTAGGCACCTTGATGGACTAGGTATACACAAATGAGTAAAATACACTCTTCTTTTTTAAAAATTAATCATCTTGGGTTTTTTGTTGTTGTTTTTAGATTTTATTTATTTATGTGTAGAGAGAGGGGAAAGCAAGGAGAAAGAGAGGGAGAGAAACATTGATGTGAGAGAAACACTGATCTGTTGCCTCTTTCACATGCCCAATCTGGGGATGGAACCTGCAACCCAGGCCTGTGCCCTGACCAGGAATCAAACCATGACCTTTCACTTTGTGGGACAACGCCCAGCCAAATGAGCCTCACCAGTCAGAGCCAATATCCATTCTTGTCTTCAGGAACTTAATAGTCTACTAGGAGAGACACTTGCATAGTTAACTAATAAAAAGTTGGATGGTAAACACAGCACTCTGGCTTTGGAGGGGCAGCAGTTCTGTATGATAGGTAGAAATGGGGAGAGTTTACAGAGAGTTGAATTGGACTTTGAATGATAGTAGGATTTTGGTTGGAGGGTATAAAATTTAATGGTGTTTTTCAGAAATTGGGTTGTTTGCAGCAGAGAGTAAATCGGATGAGAGAATGGTAGATCGAGGGGAAAACAGAGTAATGAATGTAAAACATCTAGCCCAGTGCCCGGCATATTGTGAGTACTCAAACTTCACCTCTTTCTAATCCCGCCATATTTACCTCAAGGAGTATCTGCAAGGTACCAGAGAGAACAGTTAGCTCAGTTTGATTGAAGAGTGGGGCAGGTGCTGTCAAGTTGCTGAACCATTTCTTTCCTTAGAAGGTGAACTCTTGAGAAAAGTGATACTAATGTTGGAAAAACTTGCTTTTTGTGCCAAGGTGGGGACAATGTCGCAGGTTAAAGCCTCGTACTCCTATGATGCTCCCACGGACTTCATCAATTTTACATCTTTGGATGATGAGGAAGACACCCAGAACATAGATTCCTGGTTTGGTAAGTGTCTGCTTTCTCTGGCCATTTTAAGGGTTAGTGGCTTTGTTGTGAGGACCTGTTAAAAAAAATAATAAAAGGGGTTGCAAGGAAATAACTAAAATACAAATTTCTGTTTGTACCAAGATACTTTGTCATCCAAGATATGAAAGAAATAGTTGAAGTGCCCAGTATTTTGGGAATAGACTATCCATATAAGTCAGTGTTATTTTGTAGTTAAGAATGACATGTATTTAAACTTGAGGAACAGATGTGGAAATGCAGAAGTCTATACATTTCCTTAAAATATGGTGATGGCAGCCACATACAAATTTGCTCCACTTGTCATTGGGCATAGGGTATGTTACTACAACTAGAATATTGACATCGATTTAATCCACCACTTTCCTCAGATTTCCCATCTCACTTGTGCTCATCTTCGTCTGTATGTGTTAAGTCTTCTGCGATTTCATCACCTGTGGAGGTTCACGTGTCTCCCGCCACAGCCAAGGTGTTGAACGGTTCTCACCTCACAAGGAGCCTTGTGTTGCCCTTTTATCACTACACTCACCTTCCGCTGGCTAAGCCCTCCCCAATTCATTTTTTAAAGAAGATTTTATTTATTTATTTTTAGAGAAAGGGGTAGGGAGGGAGAAAGAAGGAGAGAAATGTCGATGTGTGAGAGATGGATCAGCTGCCTCTTGCACACACCCACTGGGGACCTGGCCTGCAACCCAGGCAGGTGTCCTGACTGGGGATCAAACTGGCGACCTTTCAGTTCACCGACAGGTACTCGATCCACTGAGCCACACCAGCCAGGGCCCCAATTCATTTTTAAATGGATGGATTATGTTACTCAGAACCTGGTCCCTAAACAGAGATGGGGTTGCCTGATGTTGGGTCATGTGATATGGCACAAACCTGACAGCAGGCCAACAGTAAATAAGAATGGTTATGTTGTTACTTTACTTTGGAATAATATGTGAGACAAGTGATATGCCTGGATAGTAGTTGCTGGGGCCCCTTCATTTAATTCTTTCTCATGTCCTTTTTACTCCTTATTAAGATTAATCAGTATCGATAGAGGACAAAAATGATTCCATTGCAGCTGTACTTAGCACAGATAATGCAGAGTCCAAAGGTGTGAGGACATATGCCCTTCTCTTGGAAAAGGACTTTAGTGGTGTCCAGTGGGGGTCCTGAGAAGAGAGGTCTCTTGGAAGTGGCGTGGGAGGAAGGTAGACAAGTGACCGGCTGCCCTGCAGGGGCTCTTCCCTTGCCCTTGCTCCACGGAAACCCTGGGGGAATGGTTGGGTTGTCTGCAGTCTTTTCCTAAGTTTTTCTTTAACACAAAAAAGAACTATTGGTATACCAAAACGATTAAATACTCTGAAAGAAAAAAAGTAAGCCAACTGTTTTTTCAAATGCACCTTAGTGCTAATATATTAGTTTGTAACTTCTTTCAAATAATCACATTTTTCCACAGTTGCAATCAGTGTTACATGTACTTTGTTATTGCTGGGACTCACCATGGTCCTGACACTTGAGTCCATCAGTAGACTGTTGGCAGACAGGCGTTTCATTGCCTTATGCTGACTTTTGGGCACACAGAACCGGAGATAAAATTCCTGCATAGAGCCCAGGTCTGGTCCTCCCTCAGAAACCCCATCACCATCCCAGTCGAAGAAGAACCTCAGCTCAGACTCTCAGATGGCCCTTGTGATCCTGGCAGAGCTTGGTGGTTACAGTTCTCTTTAGAAGGAGCACGATGTGCGTGGGTGGTAGATAAGGCCGGTTCGTGCTTGTACAGTCCTAAATGTGCATCGAGCAAAGACAAGGAGCTGTTCACAGTGCAGAGTCTGTGCTTCTTTGTTGTGATACATTGTTCAGTGTTTCAGTGATAATTTTCAGTCTCTATCTCTGAGGTATAATGTGTACTTTTTTTTTTAATCACCAGAACTTTGCTTTGTACTTGCCAAATGAGTTAGAAGCGTACTGGTAAGGGTATTAGGCCCCCATTGTAAGTGTGTGGTACTGACTTATTTTACTTGTTTAGATGCTGACACTCTCACCTTTTCACAGAGGAGAAGGCCAATTTGGAGATTAAGTTTCCTGGGAAGAATGGGACGGGGCTTTTTCCAGACAAAACTCCTTTGAGAAAGGCAAATCCTCAGCAAGCTGCTGTCACACCTTTGAGACCAGGTAAGAGAGAACATAGGAAAAGGTTCTTTGGCAGAATGGTGGGACGGTGTATTAGGAGCCTGAGGGGTCTGGGGGAATTACTAAGTGCTGCATCCCTTGGTTAGTTATTGGTGACATGGGCGAATTCATTTCATGGTGAATGGAGAAGTGATGATGTGCTACACTTTTAAAATAATTTTTTAACATAGAATCTGATCGATAGATACATAACTATCTTCTTTTCACTAAAGATTTAACATAACATGGGCCTGGCTGGGAAATAAACCAGTAGGAGAAAAGAATGTACTGCTTTATATTATCCAAGAATTCTATGAGTCATGTGTCTGATTTCAAAAGATGATTGACATTTAAACTGGTGGTTACTAAATCTGTAGAATATTGTTTATTTGATCAGAGGTCATAAACCCTTGAAAATAATTTTTTGAAGTCATAGCTTTAACATATAGTTTACATATGTCATTTACCTACTTACAGTGTACATTTCCTTGTTTCTTGCAGTATATTCATAGCATAGTGTGCAGCCATCACTATGATCAGTTTATCATTGACTTTTTTCCTATTGTTTTTCTGTTTTCTATTTTATAGATTTCCATTCTGACCTTTATTATTTCCCTTCTGACTTTGAGTTCAATATGCTCTTCTTTCTTTGGTTTCTTTAGGTGCCTGCTGAAGTCATTGATTTGAGATTTTCTTTTTTAATGTGTTTGTTATTGTAAATTTTCCCCTAAATACTCCTTTAGTGCAGCAATTTTCAACCTCTTTTTATCTCATGGCCCAATAAACTAATATTACAAAAATTCTGTGGCATACCCCCAAATAATTGTTTTGCTGATGTGACAAAAACTAGGTATAATTTTGATTGATTTACCAAAAGGAAAAAAAGTAATTGCCTACCCTTTTTGTTCCAAAACGATTTTTTTAAAAGATGCCTATACTTGTATAAAAGGATTTCTGGTACCAAGAATTAAGCAATCGGGCCCAACCTTATCATGTGACATGACCAGTAAAATGCAACTTTATTATGTGACCTATATGTTTATGGTTCAAGATGGGGCATTCACAATGGATGGCTATTGTTGTGTTGTTGGCTATTGTTTTTTGAATTCGTCAATCTAAGGGAAAAGAGTTCAGTGCCTAAATCGGTCGGGAATTGCCTGCTTTGAACATTCTCGCAGCACATGATTGAAAAGCACTGCTTTAGTGGCATTCCACGGATTTGATGAATTGTGTTTTCATTTTCATTCCATTCAAAATACTTTTTAATTCGCCTTTTATTATTTTCTTTGACTCATTTTTTAAAAAATTGATATATAATTGGCATTGTATAAGTTTAAGGAGTGTAACTTGATTTGGTACATTTATATACTATTACAAAGTGAGGAACAACCCACCGGTCTTACTCAGATTTCTCATTTCACTTGTACTCATTTTTTTTTAATAGCAGAATGAGAGAGAGCAGATTTATTAAGTGATAGTACACTGCACAGAACATGGGAGCGAGCCAACTCTGAGCAGCGATTGACCCTCAGTGGCTGGAGGGATTTTATTTTTTTCCCCCTTTTAAATTACATTTTATTGCTTATGCTATTACAGTTGTCCTCATTTTTACCTCTTAGCCCCCCTCACCTAGCCCCCCCACTTTGTTCGTGTCCATGAGTCATGTGTGTACGTTCTTTGGCTTCTCCATTTCCTGTGCTGTACTTTACATCCCTGCGGCTATTCCGTAACTTCCTATCTATACTTCTGAATCCCCTCACTTCTTCACCTATCCTCCCACGCCCCTTCTCATCTGGCAGCCATCAAGATGCTCTCTGTATCTGTGATTCTGTTTCTGTGCTTGTTTGCTTAGTTTGTTTTTTTAGATTCACTGTTGATATGTCTTTTTTGCTATTTTATTGTTCAATGGCTTTGATCTTTTTCTTAAATAAGCCTCTTTAATATTTCATATAATAATGGTTTGGTGATGATGAACTCCTTTAGTTTTTTCTTGTCTGGGAAGGTGTTTATCTGCTCTTTGATTCTAAATGATAGCTTGGCCTGGTAGAGCAATCTTGGCTGTAGGTCTCTGCTTTTCGTGACTTTGAATGTGTCTTGCCAGTCCCTTCTAGTCTGCAAGTTTCTTTTGAGAAATCAGCTGACAGTCTTTTGGGTATACCCCCCCATAGGTATTAACTTCTCTTGCTGTTTTTAAGATTCTCTTTATCTTTAACCTTTGGCGTTTTAATTATGATGTGTCTTGGTGTGGGCCTCTTTGCATCCATCTTGTCTGGGACTCTCTGTGCTTCCTGGACTTGCATGTCTGTTTCCTTCACCAATTTAGGGAAGTTTTCTTTCATTTTTTCAAATAGAGTTCCAATTTCTTGCTCTTTCTCTTCTCCTTCTGGCACATCTTTTTAAAATTTAATATAATCATCTCTTCCTTTTAATTAGGATAAATGTCTCTATTGTAGCCTTGGCATAATATGCTATTTTTTTGTTTGTTTGTTTCTTTGATTTTTTCTTCCCCCTCAAAAAAATTCTTTCGAGAATGAGTCAAATGATATTCTCTGGAATAAATAATGCATGAAATGTTTTTTTCATGGCCTTTTCTTCCCTGTCATATAATTGGAGTTTTCTTCTTTTAAAAAAAAATTATTTATTTATTTGTTTTTATTTAAACAGAAGGGAGGAGAGGGAGAAAGAGAGACCACACTGGCCAGGGTAGAGTTTTCTTCTTGTATCAAGGCTCAGTTCATAAGCTGTACCATCAAATGCTGTTTTTCCCATGAAGTCTTTACTTGATTATTCCTTCCTTAGTATTCTCATAGCATTTTTTTTTTCTCTTTCTGTTTCATAATGGCTGTGTTAACATCACAATATTTATTGACAAAATATCTTACTCTCCTTCCCACGCTTATACCCAGTCCCTTTTCTCAATTGCTACATCTTCTAACTCTCACTGTTATAAATTGTGTTATACCCATGCTGCATGATGATATGGTTACATGAGCAATATTTACATTATTATAATTTCGTACATATATTCGATGAGAGGTCAGGTAGTGGGACGTGCAGCTGCATCCTTCCCGGTCCTCCTGTTTCTCCTGCGCTCCGCTGGTAGAACCTTTGGGCCACGTGAAGATGGTCCTGGTACCAAGGTCAGGTCGATTCTCTTTAAGCTTCATTGGCTACTTAAATTTTTGTCATACTGGACAGTCATTCTTGGAAGTTATAACTCTTTTTGGGGGGGAGGACATTATTATTTTTTTTAAATACCTTCTCAATATCTTTGCTGACTTTTCTCCTGGATAATCTGTCTCTTCCTTGAATTCTTTTATTTGTCCTTCACTTTGCTGGAATACGTCCTCTGGGAGCTTCCCAAGATTAGGTGCAGGAGACGAGGACCTTGAGTTCTCTCATATCTGAAAATGTCACTGTTCCACCTTCAGATACGATGGAAAGTTTGGCTTAATATAGAATTGTAGAGTAAAAAACGTTTTTTGACTACTCTGAAGGCGTTGTTTGTTTGTTTGTTATTTTCTGTCATCCTGTCGCTGATAAGGAATTCAGCTTGTCATATTTTCCTTGCATCTTAGGTGGGTTCTTTTTCTCTGGGGAAGCTTTTAAAGTTTTATCTTTTGGGGTTGTTTTTCTTCCTGGGGTGGTGCCATAGGCTAGCAAGTAGGCAGGACCCCGGGATACTTTCTGCTTCAACCAAAGTAGCTTTTATAAATTGGTCGTGTGTGGAACGTTTCACTAGAAATAAAGGTTTGACTGCTTAGGAGCGCTGTAAGTATACACACACACATAAAATTTTCAGTCTAGAATTCTGTATTAAGTCATATGTATAGGTCAGGACAAAAGTAGGTTTACAGTTGTGAGTACGTGAAACAGTTTGTTCTTGTGTTTTTATTTGTTAATTATTGTATTACTTCCCATACAAACAACTATAAACTTACTTTTGCCCCATCCTGTATATCTTATTTCTAACTGATTTTCTTGGGATTTGAGTGCTGACTACTTTTTACTCTCCTGCAGCTGACAACACTTATTACAAAGAATCAGAAAAAGAGAATCTGGTGCAACAGTCCATTCCCTCAAATGCTTGTTCTTCCCTGAAAGTCAAGGGAACCACCTCAAGAAATACTCCATCCCAGGCTCAGAGGTAAGTTTCGGGGTCAAGGTGGTGGTAATATTAATGATGTTCAACGAATACTTAACCAAACAGAGCATCTACTAGGTGTCCTGTATTTTGTTAGACTTTTTATGTTACCTTATTTCATCTTCATAACATTTGTGAGTTGTAGGTCTTATGGATAAGGGCTTGTAGGTACTGAGTTACTTGTTCAAGGTAAAAACTATTTCAGAGCCAGATTCAAGCTGGTTGGTTTGGTTCCAAAGCCCTTGCTGTTTGTACTGTCAACATGGGTTGCAATTTTACATTTATTTTTATGGCTGTTTGACAGATTTTTTTTTTTACCCTGTTGTAAATAAAATAAACTTTATAAGAGCAAGTATCATGTATCCCTAGTGCTTAACAGTGCCTGGCTAGAGCCGAAGCTGAAGAAATGTTTTATGAATGAACAAGTGGGTGGATGGGTAGGTTACCCTGCAGTCTCGCACCAGCAGTCTCGCAACTTTCGCCGTTGGTAATGGCCACCCACCCAGAGTTTAAAGTGCGGCAGTGTTTATTGCTGTAAACTTCGACATCACCTAGACTATCCTCAAGGAAGAGGAGTGACAGGATATTTATAATGTTATTGCTCAGAAGTGATGAAATTGCCCTTTGCAAAGCTGTATGCTGGCATAAGAGTATCACTTTTGAGGGTGGTATCACACACTTATACTAATCTTTTCTGGGAAAGAAGCCCATTTGAATCAAAGAATTCTATGAAATCTCTACCAGCCTGGTGTCTGTCACAGGAGTTTTAAGAGACATGGTTGATTCCGTGGTCTCTGTTCCATATTTAGATTGTGAGGTGGGGCGTATGGAACAGAGACCTAGGGTCCCACAGATTCCTGCAGAACCCGGGAAAGTAGTGTTAGTGCCCTGGCTTCTCTGTGTTGTATATGCATATGATTGCTAAAATTGTTCCTCATCCTGACTGAATTCCAGAAAGCTTTTTGGAGATGATGGTATGGTAAGAACATAGTTGCCATCAGAGTCAGACGACCTGAATTTTTTTTAAGGTCAGTTACCCTCTACTATTGAGAAACCTCGGTTTACTGAGAGTGTAAAGGAGCTAATTGTAAGAAAGATCCAAATAAGATAACATGTGACAGTACGTTGTAAATTACACTGCGTTATGAAAATGTAGGAGGGGTAAAACACTGGTGCTGTTATCTCAGATCTGTCTTGGTCCAGAGATGCCCAGTCTAGAAAGGAACAGCAGATAGGACGGTATGGGCAGTCATATAAATTCTCTACTATTTCATTTTCACATGGTATAGATGGATAGGCTGAAAGATGGCCAAGACTCTTTTGACACAGAAGTTATGAGTCAACAAGACCTTAGTCTGTAATAATGATTTTCCATGGACGCGTTGATTTATCACGATACTGAGACCAGTGAAATTAAACAGAAACTCACTTTCCATGTATGGAAATGATATATGAGAAAGTATTGCAGACCTGTGGGGAAAGTTGTTGTTTTTTTTTTAAGATTTTATTTATCTTTAGAGGGGAAGGAGAGAGGGAGAGAAACATCAGTGTATGGTTGCCTCTAGTGTGTCCCCTGCTGGGAACGGGCCTGCAACCCCGGCATGTGCCCTGACTGGGAATGGAAAGTGTTTTTTTTTTTTTTTTAAACTTCCCTTCATCAAATACTTGGACAATGGCTATCCAAACAGAACAAAATGAAACTTGGCCTCTACCTCACTCCATATAAAGCAGTCAGTTGTATGTATGTTGTAGATCTAAATGTGAAAGCTAAAATTCATACAAGGAAATGCAGGAGAGCCCTGTCTGGTGTCATTCAGTGGATTGAGCACCGGCATGCAAACTGAAAGGTTGCTGGTTCGATTCCCACCCAGGGCACATGCCTGGGTTGCGGGCCAGGTCCCCAGTGAGGGGTGTGCAGAGGCGGCCAATTGATGTATCTCTTGCATATCCATATTTCTCTCCCTCTCTTTCTCTCTCCCTTCCCCTCTCTCTAAAAATAAACAAAACATTTAAATAAAGGAAAGGAAATGTAGGAGAATGTAGTTATGACCTTAGAATAGAGAAAGATTTTTTGAGTAGAATACACAGAGAAAGGCATTGACCATATTGGGGCGGGGCGGGGTTGGTGTATTTGAGCACCTTCAACTAATCCAATGATACTATAACAAGAGTAAAAAGCCAACTCCTGTAGTAGAAAAAGATATTTGTAACAGATAAAACCTACAAAGGGCTCATAGTTATAGTATATAAAGACTCCCTACTAATCACTTGGAAGAGGATTAACGACCAACAGAGGAGAGGGGAGAGGAGATTGGATGAAAGAGGGCAAAGGAGGGGTCGGGGGAGGACATCTGTGATAGGGTCAACAATAAAGATTTTAAAAAAGACGTAAAGGATTGACAACCCGTAGAAAATAAGAAAGAGACTCGAACTACTAGCACTTATGAAGGAAGATAATCAAATGGCCAATAAACAGGAAAAGTCGCTCAGTCTCACTGTTAGTCAGGGAAAAGCAAATTAAAACCACAAGGAAGTTCTACTACATAGCAACTAATATGGCTAAAATTAAATCATCTGATTATACCTAGTATTCAGGAGGATGTAGAATGAGGCAGAAGAGACTTACAAACTTGCACAAATTGGTACAAGCACTTCGGAAAACAACTTCAGTTGTTTTAACCAGTGTGCTATGACCCAGCAATCTTAGGACTTAACACACCCAACAGCACCGTGCGAACATATGCACCAAGAGATGAGGGCATCAGTAGTCAACCGGACACATAGCGGTATGTTCTTGCAGTGAATGCAGCATTGGAAACAGTGAACCAAAGCTTCACGAATCAGTCTGTATTGAATCTCACAAACAGAATGTTCAGTGAAGTAAACCAGACAGAATAAAATACTTGGCAGCAGTCCGAGTATATTATAAAGATTTATTTTTGTTTCTTTCCTAACTAATGTACCATGTTAATGGGATGCACGCTTATGTGGTAAAGTGGTTAAAACAAAAAGTAACAATTACTGTAAAACGAGTCAAGAAGGTAGCTGCTGCCTGTGTTCTTTTTCTTAGACCAGGTGGTGATTTCATTTTGTAATGTAACTTAATTTTTGTTTGGTGCACTTTTTGGTATGTGTTATATTTTAACAAAAAGGGGGGTGTGGTTAAAATAAAAATGAGAAAATGTCAGTTTCTAGAAGATCCAATCTCTAATTTCAATTCTGACAGCACTTAGCTATGTAACAGGGTTGGTCAGGTCACCCCACCTTTTTTTGACTTCTATTTTTACTTATAAAAGAAGGGAATTCTACTAGGTGATTGATTGCCTTTGGCTTAGAAAAGAACGTTAGCTTTATTGAGGTCTGGTTTACAAACACCAATGCATTTAAGTACCAATATTTTCTGATGAGATCTTAAAAACTATCAGTACGGTAAGAGCAGCTTAGATTTTTAGAGTGGAAATAATATCACTAAACTTTTCATAGCCCTTTTAATGTGACATATGTTCACATTTCTGAAGAACATTTACATATCTGTAGTAGACATATTTATTTCAGATAAATTTTGTCCATTCCTCTACCACAGAAGATCCGTTAGACTCTCTGCTCGGAAGAATTTGGCCCAGAAAGAAAAACAAGTGAAAACGACAGCTAAGAGATGTTCTAATCCTGGAATCACCAGTGAAACTCCACCCTCTAAAAGAATGAGAGTGTAAGTAGCCGCCACTCCTGTCCGTTGGCGTAGGTTTTACCCCCATCTGCCCCCGTGGTTAAGAGCCAGCAGAATATATGATGCTCTTACCTTTATCAGTCAGGAATGTACTTTATCTGTTCTGCTGGGGAGTGGTTTACAGAATAGTTATTTATTTGCTCCACAGAGGTTTGCCGTTGGCCTCGGTTCAGCAGCTGAACAGTGTTGGGCAGCATCTCTGTGTCGTGGCGTTTAGTTCTCACTTGTTGGCTCGAGATGGCTGCTCTGTATTTTTTAGCTTCCTCCTCATGCTCCTTGTCCTGCTGCCACAAGAGCTGCTATATCTCTAGATATCACACCCATGTTCAAGAGAAAAAGAAGGCAAAGGAAGAGGGGCGGCACCCGTATTGCCAAAGGGAAATATTTTCCAGAAACCCTTGTTATATCTCAGTTGTCCAGCTGTGTCATGGGTCCCTCCTCATCACAGTAGAGCGTGTTACCCAAGTACAGTACTTTCACCTTCATGCATTGTTGCCCTAAACCAAACTGGGGTTTTACTGAGAAGAAAGACAGTGGAACACATACTGGGGAGGCAGCTTCTGCCCTTGGTGTATTTGATGATGAGCCGTTGGAGTCAGTCGTGCCCTCGTGAACCATCACCAAACCACTGTTACCCTGACTGTTACTGGTGTTCTTAAAGCTTACCCACTGTAGCCAGTGCTGTGTATGACCTGACGGTCCTAGTGGAAGAATCCTGTGTTTGAAGCATGTTTGTTTTCCTAAAGAGTGAGACAGCTGAAGTCGTACGTGGTAGGTTTGGGGAGTAGGCTAGAGCAGGCTATGCTTTAGGGAATTAAGAGGATATTTTTTGTTCTTTTGAACTCAAGCTCTAACAATAAGAAGAAGCCAGAAGAGGAAGATAGTGCTCATCAAGATATGTCTGGAAAGAACGAGTCGTCCCCAGAGAAAGCCAAGGGCAGACACATTGTGCCTTGTGTACCACCCGTGAGGTGTGCTTCTTTCCTGAACTTGCCCATTGGAGTCAGTGGAGCACAGTCACATGTGGGTGTGTCTGGTCGGTTTGCTGTGTGTGGGACTTGAGAAATGCCAAGGCTGTAATCACGGGGAGGTGAATTGTTTTATATCCTGGTGGTTGCCCAAGTCTGAAACATGGAAAAAATACACTATTAAAGCAAATAAAAATAAATACATAAGGAAAAAGTAAAGGTTCTAACTACCTAAATTGAATGTTTGTATTTTGCCAAGCTCCCTTCTGGTCTTTATTCAAGTAAAATACATATTTTCACAACCAGTATGTAACTGTCCTTTGGATTTGCTTTATTCACTCACTGTGAAACTTAGATTTTTTTCTGTACTGCTATAAAATCTTCACATTTATCCATTTTTGATAGATTATTAATACCCTCTCATATCTAAACATTGTTGAAAATGCAGATTCCAATTTTTTTTTTTAAAGATTTTATTTATTTATCTTTAGAGGGGAAGGGAAGGAGAGAGGGAGAGAAACATCAATGTATGGTTGCCTTTCATGCGTCCCCTGCTGGGAATTGGTCTGCAAGGAACTGGTCTGCAACCCAGGCATGTGCCCTGACTGGGAATCGAACCGCAATTGTTTGGTTCACAGGCCCGTGCTCAATCCACTGAGCTACACCAGCCAGGGCAGATTCCAATTTTTTACTGTTGTAAAAGTCAGCGAACATCTTCGTAGGCAGAACCTTTTCTTCTGGGTAGTCTCAGGGCAAAGGGTATGACTAGTTCTATGGCTATTGATGTTTATTGCCAACTTTGTTTCTGAAACAGATATGTGAATTTATAGTGCTATTAGCTTTGAATATTTTTATTTCCCTGTCTCATCTGCATTTCATTTTTTACTTTAAAATATGTTCCCCATTTAATTGACATGTTGTTGATGCATCCAGTTATTTTAATTTGTGTTTGCTTGGTTGCTGACAATGTGTTACTGATATGTAACATCTTTTCCATATTTCCTCTTGGGTGAATTGTCCGTTTCCTTTTCTGTTTATTTATAAGTGGGCTTAGTGATGTTCTCATTACTAAGAATGGCTGTGCTAACTGGAGCTTATACTGTGTGTTGAGTGCACCAGAAACATCTGGTTAATCCCAAATATTCTGTGAAGATGAGTATATATGGGTTATCTAATTAAGTATCTGTTAGGTAATGCTTTTTGTTTGGATGGCTATTTTATCTCAGGTTTAAAATCTAACCTATATAATGCCTTAAGATTAGTTTAAACCATTGAGCCTCTTTTCCCTCTCTTCTCTTCACTCCCTTATTGATCTGCTTTTTAGGCAGAAGATTCTAAAAAGTACCGAGGAGCAAGAGTTGGAGAAAAGCATGAAAATGCAGCAGGAGGTGATGGAGATGCGGAAAAAGAACGAAGAATTCAAGAAATTTGCTCTCGCAGGAGCAGGTCAGCTTGGCTCTGGTTGAGTCTGGTTTATGAGGGGCACTTCTCATAAACCTTGGTGGGTGTTTTGAAGTCTCTATAGCAAAAAAGGCTTTCTTGGTCAGGTGTTGGCATGAAATAACGTGTTTATTCAGACGGCTGGTCACGGGCACCATTTACGTCCCAATGATTATTCCCTAGAACGCGCCATATGCGTTGGACCTTTCTTAGAGCGCAGTCTTCCTCTGTGTCCGTCACACCTGTCTTTTGAGGCCTTGTCCCAGGCGGACTGCCTTCATTTCTTCAAGTACAGTAAATTTCTCCCTCCTTTTTCCTTTTTAAATTAAAAAAAATAAAAGGAACTAGGATTAAGGCAGAAGATGAGGCAGTGTGGCGGGCCAGTTTTTTGTTGCCATTTTCCCTTTTTAGCTTAGGCCAAGGAAGAGAAAGCCGGGGAAGAGTTGAGCCTGTGGAGGGAGAAGTTTGGCAGAGGGAGCTGAAGGTGTCAGAGCTCCGCTTTGCTCTGGCATAGAGTTCTCATCGGTGGAGGTGGAGCTCTAAAGCCCTGCTCACTGGGTGGGAAGAAGCACCTCTGGGGTTTACAGGGTTTCCTTCTTGGTGATATTTAGTTAAATGTGCTTTTCAAATCTACTGAGGGCATTGCTTACCTGAAGTATTTTAGTTCCTCTGTGTTTTCAGACCTATGGCCTGGGAGATGGGATTTTTCTTTCCTTTGCTGCCTCTTTGCAGTTTGTATCTGACTGAAGGACCTCAAACTCAACGGTCTCAACTCAGTGAATAAGGACATACATTAGTGTCCTGGAGGACTGATTTGAATATTGGGTTATATGTAGAGAGTAAACAAAGGTAGATCCATGGTAACAGAAAAACCAAAGGGCCTGGATAAAAGGGGAGTTACTAATATTGTGTGTTCTTAGTGTTACCTGTGTGTTTTACTCTGCTCCTTTCTCAGGACAACCCGTGAAGAAATCAGTGAGCCAGGTAACCAAATCAGTCAACTTCCACTTCCGCACAGATGAGCGAATCAAACAACATCCTCAGAACCAGGAGGAGTATAAGGAAGCGAACTTTATATCTGAACTGCGAAAGCATCCTCCGTCTCCTGTAAGTCGGTGAACTAAGTGACTATTCCTGTTACTAAGTCAGTGAGGGATTCAGCTGTAGCATTTGTGGTCACTACTTACAACAATAAGATTGAATTAAGATCTAAATCCTCACTTTTGTCCCTTGTTAGCTCTGTGATCTTGGCTAAATCGCTGTCTGTGGAAACCATCTTGCCAACTTACTGTGGAAAGTAAATTGAGACTATACATAAAACACACTGGGTAAGCACAGGCCTGCTACAGCTTGTGCTATTACAAAATTCTTGAAAAATCCTGTGTTTGCAAAGTGTACAAAATATAACAGCATTTATGGGGAGATGGGATTGGGCAGCCCACCCAATCCAATGCGGTGTTGTCACCAGAGCCCTGACAAAACTAGTAACAACCCTAAATGAAAATGCTAGTACTAGGAGTCTCCGCCTGCAGTTTCAGTCTTCATTTGTTGAAGTCAGTCTTCTGTCTTAATCCCTGGGGTGTGCTTCTTTCTTTGAGATGTAGGTTCTGGAAGAGTTTTGTTTCCAGTCAGAGACCAGTTGAATCCACATCAGTGGTCCAGGGAGCAGGCTCCTTCAGCAGCCAGTTTCTGGGAGTGTGTGAGGGAGTCTGGTTCAGGCAGCTGCCTGGCCCGGTCCACCCCCAGAAGCCCGGTCATTTTTTTTAACGGGATTGGGGGTGGGGTGCCTTAACTTGTGCCCGAGAACCGACAGACTGAGTGTAGTAATCCTGGTTTTCCACGGGCTCTCTTTCTTTTGATCTGTGCTGAGTGCATGACTTGTGGTAGATCTGAGCGTTTGTAACATTTCATTTGGGGGCATCTTTCTTTACAGGCCCAAGTGACTAAGGGATGCACCATCATAAAGCCTTTCAACCTGTCCCAAGGAAAGAAAAGGACATTTGATGAAACTTCTTCTTCATATGTGCCTCTTGCACAGCAGGTTGAAGCCTTCTATAAACGAACCCCTAATAGATATCACTTGAGGAGCAAGAAGGATGATATTAGTAAGTTTCTCACTCATATCATAGCTGGCTGGAGTATCCCCTAAAATTCCTATTGCTTGCATCTTAGACATAATTTATCTTTAGTTGAAATCCTAGTTTTTGAACTAAACTATGGCACATTCCTACATGCAGACAACTAACGTATTGTTGAGCGTGTCTCAAACCATCCAGCTCTCTGTCCACTTCTAAGCCAATCAGCCACCTTAACCCCGGTCAGTAATGGGCCAAGGGGAATCGGGGTTACCTGATGTGCTATTCTACATCAAGGATGTCTTCACTGTGTGTCAGTGTCCCAGTGCATTTACTCCCCTGGAGAAAAGGAAGCATCCCATTTATTTAAGATTGTGTGCTTTTCGTTCAGTGATTCAGCAAGTTTTTTACCACCACAAACCTGGTACTTTGTTGGGTGTTGGGGCGTATAGAAGCGAACAAAAGGGACTTGGTGCTACTCAGCATTAAGTTTCTAATTCAGTGAGAGAGATAAACAAAAAGGTCATTACAAATTATTGTCCGTGCTAAAGAAAGTGGAGGGAGATGTCAGAGTTGAGCGTGTCTGCATACGGAGACACTGAGGATAGAGCAGAAGACAGTAACCAGTGGTGAAACCCCTGCACAGGCAGGTAGCAGAGGAGCCCAGCACAGGTGGAGTGATCGCTCTTTGACAGGAGGCCGGGAGAGTGAGAGGAATGCGTGCAAATGCTGGTGGGTGTAGATTTGGCGGCGAACGGGTGGGAAGATTCTAGTCTTAACAGCTCCTATTTTTATGAAAATAATTACTACAAGGAGGGAGGTGAAGAAGTTGGAGAATTAAAGAGAAGTGGCATAAGACAGTGCAGAGTACGAGACAGCACTGTGGATGAAGCAGAACCGGTGGCTTGCCTTCGGAGGTCAGTTTTTCTGCCCTCGCTCAGGCATCGTTCAGCCTCCTTTAAGTGCAGCGTTTCTTAGTACCGTTGTTAGTCCTTCTCATAGCCATATTAAACATTGCTTTACAAATAATATGTGACTTTTAGAGTCTGTTATGTCCTACTCTTCGAATCTCAGTCCTGGCGAATAGAAATAAAAATTATTTCTGTACTTTTTACTTAAAACTTTAAAAAATTTTTTTTTAGATTTTATTTATTTACTTTTTGAGAGAGGGGCAGGGAGAGAAACATCAATGTGTGGTTGCCTCTCTCATGCCCCCAAGTGGGACCTGGCCAGCACCCCAGGCATGTGCCCTGACCAGGAATCGAACCAGGGACCTTTTGATTCACAAGCTGGCACTCAATCCACTGAGCCACACCAGCCAGGGCTATTTAAAACTTTTTTAAATTAATTCATTTTCTTTATTATTTATTTATTTATTTTTAAGATTTTAATTTATCTTTAGAGGGGAAGGGAAGGACAGAGGGAAAGAAGTATCAATGTTTGGTTGCCTCTCATGCATCCCCTGCTGGGAACTGGCCTGCAACCCAGGCATGTGCGCTGACTGGGAATCAAACTGCGGTTGTTTGGTTTGCAGGCCTGTGCTCAATCCACTGAACTACACCAGTCAGGACTAAAACTTTTAATAGTTAAAGCTGAATAATGGTTATGTGTGTACTTGAAGGCTTGCTTAGTTATAAAAGAAATAGATTTGGATTCTACCTTCTTTTTAAAAAAAATATCTTTTAATTAATTTTTTTAGAGAGAGGGGAAGGGAAGGAGAAAGAGGGAGAAAAACATCAATGTGTGGTTGCCTCTGTTGTGTGCCCTACTGGGGACCTGGCCTGCAACCCAGGCATCTACCCTGACTGGGAATAGAACCAGCGACCCTTTGCTTCACAGGCCCATGCTCAATCCACTGAGCTACACCAGCCGGGGCTGGATTCTACCTTCTTATACATCTAAATCAGAGGACTTATTCTTTATCATTTTGAAAACTGACATGGTTGCCCCGACCAGGCAAATCAGTGTTTTCTATGAGTGGTAGTGGTGGTCTTTTTTTTTCAGTGTTTATTGAATTTATTGGGGTAATGTTGGGTGATGGTCTTAATATTGATGCTTTGAAAGTTTTTTTTACTTTCTCCATGTGTCTTTCTGTGAGAGGTAGTCTTGATACTTTGATACAGATGCTTTTAGGGAGCTTATAAAATTAGGATCATTACTTGGTCTTTAGAAAGGCCTCATTTTAAAGCTAGAATAAATAAAAATCTTACTTGTCAATAACAAGCAAAACAGTTGGCATTGCCAATAGAAGGTGGGTATAGGCTGGTGCAGTGATAAGGAATTCACTGGAAACAGATGGTCTTTATGTTCAGAAGGTCATAGTAGAGTTACCCAAAGGCCGCCCTGGTCATACTCCTGACTGCATGTTTGTCAGGTTGATGTGAACTGAGCTGAGTGTGGAGGGCATCTGTGGTTGGGCATCTCTGGGCTGCCAAGGCGAGTCAGCGCCTATAGGTAAGTGGGGTCTTGGGGAGCCACGTGAATGTCTGTGGTCTCGGTTTACAGCTCTGTTACCCTCCAAATCTGCTGTGGCCAAGATTTGCAGAGACCCACAGACTCCTGTGTTGCTAACCAAACAGCGCACAAGGCCCGTGACCTGCAAAAGTTCAGCGGATCAGGAGGCTGAGGAGCTGGAGAAACTGCAACAGTGAGTACCACCACTGTCAGTATTAGAGGAGGAGTTCCAAGAACCTGCGCAGTCTTTCAGTTCTGTAAGGGGACAGTTGCTATTTTCATGCCATGAGAACTTACAGTATTTGAGTTACTGGCTCTGCAGGCTGTGCCCTCACCTCTTTGTTTAAAGCCTTGGGAGTGGGACTAGGGAGATGTCCTGAAGTGTAAACTGGTACAAAACTAATGCAGAAGTGGGGTGGGAGAACTTGCTTATGATTCCAATTAGGGAGTGTCCTCTGAGGTTAGGTTAGGTGGGCCCCACCCTCTCCTGGCTACCCAAGGCATTGTTCAAGGCAGAAAACCAGAACTGAATGTGGTTACCACTGGAGAGTGTCTCCTGTACTCTTCTTCTATTCCTTTTTGTACTGCTTTTGAGAAGGGGGAGGCTTCCTCTGTGAAGAGAAACTCCAATTTTTAAAGCGATGGGAATGTTGGGACTTCCTTTCTCATTTATTCTTTGTTCTAAAAGTAAAGATAATGGCTGTGGAGAGAAATTTTGCCCTGCATGATGGCTAAGCTTAATGATTATTGGTTTTCTGTTTTGGCCTTTGTTGTTTATGTAGTTTTCATCTTATTAAAAAAAAAATTTTTTTTAAAATATTTTATTTATCTTTAGAGGGGAAGGGAAGGAGAGAGGGAGAGAAGTATCAATGTATGGTTGCCTTTCATGCGTCCCCCGCTGGGAAGTGGCCGGCAGGGAACCGGTCTGCAACCCCGGTATGTGCCCTGACTGGGAATCGAACCATGATTGTCTGGTTCGCAAGCCCGTGCTCAATCCACTGAGCTACACCAGCCAGGGCTAAAAAAATTTTTATTATGTGTGTGGTTATTATTTAAACTCTTACCATACAGATACAAATTCAAAGCACGGGAACTTGATCCGAGAATTCTTGAAGGTGGGCCCATCTTGCCCAAGAAGCCAGCTGTGAAGCCGCCCACTCAGCCCATTGGCTTTGATTTGGAGATTGAGAAGAGAATCCAGGAGCGTGAATCAAAGAAGAAATCAGAGGAGGAATACTTTGAATTTCATTCCAGACCTTGCCCGACTAAGATCTTGGAAGATGTTGTGGTGAGGCCCTGCGAGCTGGCCAGCTTGTCCTGCTCCTGACCAAATACCCGCCCACGTCCACATGTGTGAATGGGTGCTGTGATCAGGGCACCGTGTTAGGAGCTGTAGGTGATGAGGAGATGTATTAGAGGTGGATTGTGCCCTCAGGAGACAAAGTCCCATAAGGGAGACAACACGGGTAAACAGTATAAAATGAAACGTGTTGTTCTAAGAGAGATGACAGTTAAAAGTGTATAGGAGTTCAAAGGAGATAGTGATTTCTTTCGGGTAGAGGTTTTAGGGAATGATTTGGGAGGAAGAAGCATTTGACCTGATCCTTGACAGTGTGTTGTAGTTGTCGTCGTCGTCATCATGTCACTCTCATAGTAACCGACACTTTCAGTAGTGCACTGCCCTAAGCCCTTCTTGTGTATTACGCCATTTATTTAGACCAGGGCCCGTCCAGGTTGTTTTCCCTAATTGTCAGCAGTTTGAGATGCGGCATCTGACACTCAGCTAGTAAATGGTGGAGCGAGGGTAAGAATTCAGGCACTCTGGCTCCGGAGTCCATGATCCCGAAACGTGACTACACTGCCTCCCCGGAATGCGGTAGATTTTGGACCAGCGGAAGTGCAAGGGAAACAGACTCACGGGACATTCTAGGCAGTGGGGCGGACACAAAGAAGGCCTGAGGGGGGTGCGTGGGACAGCTACTGGAAACTGTGTGCGGGCCAGGTGAGCTGGGAAAAAGTCTATCAAGAGGAGCAACTGGAAACTGGATTCGAGAAGTGGGTTACTTTATTTTGACGGTGGGGAAGAGATGCTACAGTCCAAGAATAAGCAATGGAGTTTAGCACCTGCATAAGTGCAGATGTGGTTTGTAGATGGATTTTCGAGCAGATGAGGGAACACCCTCTTCCCTCGGTTTGGATTCAATGTTTTCCTGTACTCTTTTTTTTGCTTTTTTTTTGTAATCACCATTCCAAGTGAAACTGTACCATTGTATTACCTTTGGGTACTTAGCTTTTGTTTATTCTGTTTTCTTAGTACTAAGTCAGAGTTAATTTGAAGTTTTATTTTCCAGGCTTTAAAAAGCATGATGATGCTTAGAAGTGGTTCTTACTCTCTTCCACCTCATATCTTGTCAGTTGAGAACTTTCCGCATGTGAGATCTCTTTTCTATCATGATTTTTTTTTTCTTCTTTGCTGAGATGCACGGGAACTATAAGGGTAAACTGTTATATGAACTTTTCTTCCAAAGTGAATCGTGTATTTTATTTATTTATTTATTTATCCTTACCCAAGGACATGCTTATTGATTTTAGAGAGGGGGAAGGGAGGGAGAGAGACAATGATGTGAGAGAAAAACATCAATTGGCTGCCTCTTGTGCACACCCCAACTGGGGACAGAACCTACTGTCCATACCTGGATCCCACTTTTAGAAACATCAATGGAAGAAATTGGTTTGGCAGTTTCTCATACTTTGAAAACACTCGGGAGAAATGTTAAGGGGGGGAGGGGGACTAAAGTTCAGTAGGAGTTAGTTGAGATCTCAGAGAAGTGTTGTACCAGGGTACGTGTTACTGAAAATCCTGGATAAGCAGATCAACAAAGCGTTAGGTTAAGTGAGTATGTGAGTGAGTTGAAGTGCTGTGCTGCAGGGCAGTGCGAGCCAGAGCCAAACCCAGCCGGTTCTCAGAGTCCTCTGGGGATCTTATTACGTAAACAGATTCCTGGGCCCCAGCCCTGGAGTTTTGGATTTGTGAGGTGCAGCAGAGATGAGAGAGCCCTGTGAAAAATGTAGCCCCTGACACCCTGTAAGCAGTCATATTGTTAATGGTAATAACTCTCTTATGGCATGCTTACATTGTGCTGAGTGTTTTACGTAGGTTGTCTTAATTATTTCTCATAACTCTGGAGAGGTAGGTTCTGTTTTTATGTGGCTTTCGGATGAGGAAAGGGACACTAAGAGGTGCCTAGTATGTAGACCCAGGACAGGAACTGGCGTCTTCTTGAGCACTCTCCTTCTGTCCCTCAGTGCTGTTGTTAATCATCGTCTGTTTCGGCAGACGGTGTTTGAATTCGACACCAGCTGTTTGCAGCCTTCTCAAACTTCCAGCGATTTCACTTCAGCCCTTCATTTCTAGAAGAGCAAAGCACAGGAGACACTAGATGTATTCTCCTTCACTCACTTCATTGTTTAGAAAGGGGAGCTATGGGAGGGGGATGTGGCTTGTCCATTTTCGAAAGCTGGTGGCAGAACTGAGATCAGGTCTCTCGGCTTCCAGTCCTGGACTTCTATAGAGCACAGAAGAGCCCGCCTCCCAGAGCCCAAGTACAGCTGGTCCGTCTGCCACTGTTGTTCCCCATTCATGCCCTTTGGGTCCTGAAGCTCGCTGCCTCTGTCCTCACGGTGTTTCTTGTGCTCCTCCGCCTGTGGTTGATAGGCGGGGAGGAGGCAGCGGGCTTGGGCAGCAGTGGGTCATGAGGCAGAGATGAAATATAAGGGCCTTGGGGGAGCGGTGGAGTGATGAAAGCCTGGAGCTCCAGGGTGTGAAATGTGAACTTGGTGCCAACATCCAGTGGGGGGGCTGGGGCACCACAGAGGTGGATATGGTGTCGGTGAGGCCAGCGAGTAATTTTAGCAGTGATATTTTAGGGATGACTAGGGGAGACCAGTGTGCTCCCTCCCTACCCCCACCCCCCATATTCCCTGAAATAACATTGTTACACAGTAATTTCTTAACTGCTCTGGGACAAGCCTAAGAACTCATCCTGGGGGACTTGGGAGCATATTGCATGTTAGGGAGATGTGCTTGCCCCCATTATACTTTACCTCCAGATTTTGCTAGATTTCTCCAGAGAACTTGTGAAAATCAAGAAATCACTGATCCGTTACTTTTCATTCTCTCTCCTCCAGTAGAATGTGAGTTCCCCGAGAGAGGGGCTGGATGTCCGCACCACTCACTGCTCTGTCCCCAGAACCTAGCATGGCAGCATCGCGCTCCAGCCGGGACGCATGAGCCAGTGACGGTGCAAGCCGAAGTGCTCAGCCTGTGCGTCTGGCCTGTGCTGGACCCCGGAGATTCAGAGGTGGAATGTGAAACAGCCCTGGTCCTCAGAGCTTTCACAGCCTGCCTGGTAGATTAGATTGACTTATAAACAAATTAATCAGCCTCATGTTCATGGAACGCTTACTTCTTGTAGGTGCCTTGGAGGATGCAATGGAATGCAAATGCAACATCACTGCCCTTGAGGAGTTTATAACTAAACAAACTTAAAATAGCAAAACAAGCCCCATTTTTTTGTTTGTTTCTAAAAACCCAGTTTCCTTTTCTTTATGGAGTGTGGGTAGATAGTTGCTGCAAAGTTGATTTTCATAAATCACTTTTCCCTCTCTTCCAACTAATTTTGAGGATTGATCCCACTGGTAACTATCTCTTTTCATGGCTTATTTATTAGAGGTTTCTATCTTTAAAATTAATTTTAAAAAGAGGAAGGGGGAGAGAGAGGGACATTGATTTGTTGTTTTACTTATTTATGCATTCATTGGTTTGTTCTTGTATGTGCCCTGACTGGGGATTGAACCTGCGACTTTGGTGTATTGGTACGACACTAACCAAGTTACCTGGCCAGGGCCTCCATTGCTTTTCTTTCTAAGTGCACGTCTCGCCCTGGGTGATGCAGTGCAGTGGACTGAGCACTGGCCTGTGGACAAAAAGTTAGTTCAGGGCACATGCCTGGGTTGCAGGCCAGGTCCCTAGTTGGGGGCGTGTGACAGGCAGCCAAGCAGTGTTTCTCTCACACATCAGCGTTTCTTTTCCTCTCTCTCTCCTGTCCCCTCTCTCTAGAAATAAATAAATAAAATATTTAAAATAAAATGCACATGTCTCTGCTAAGTAGATTTAGAGTGAGGAGGAGAAATAGGAAAAGAAGCATTTTAGAATGAAATGGGCCCTCAGATATTTATTTCTGATCCTTTGTTAATAAAAAGAAACAAAAATTCGAGGCCCGAAGGCTGTCTGATGTACCTAAGGTTGTAGCAGTTGGAATCAGAGTGGACAGGAGCAGGTCTCTGGCTCCCTGCTTGGAGTTCATCTCGTTCCCACGCGGCCTGGGTATGTTCACGTAAGAGGCTGCTACCCCCTTGGCTAGAATGGGGTGGAACAGTAGATTTTGTTGTTTTATGGTAAGCATTATTTGAAACCCCATTTCATGGACCTTTGTTGCTCAGATTACAAGCTCTGCTATATTGGGTTTCGCTATGGTAGAGATCCTGGCTTCGTTTAGGGAACATGTAAGAACTTTCACAGTAGATTGAGCATGCCCTTTATATTGGTCAGCTTGGTGGGGTGTAATTTTTTCCTAATGATTGGTATTGTGCAAAGCTTTTTGGAAAAGCCATTTGTCTTAAATCCTGTGGCACAGTCTTTTGGATCTCTTCAGTGATGGCAAATCTTCATATTTCAAAGATTAATTTCCTTTTAGAAGCTGGTGTAAAGTCTTTTGGAACCAAAACTTCAGAGTGATCCAAGATAATAGGTCTGGAAACTATTTTGTTTAATTAAAAATAAAGATTGAGTGACTTGAATGGCCAAAAAATTGGCTTTAAAAGCCACTCCAAGAGAGATCCCAAACACGTTTTGGGCAGTTGCAGCATTGTTGGGATTAAGGAGAAGTTTCCCAAGATGTGAGTTAGAATCTAAAAGTCTTAGAGTCTGCGGTATAAATTCTATTATTCTTACATTCGTTCAACAAGCATTTACTGAATGCTTGGCCTTATACTTGCCAAGATATCCATTAGGTGCTAGGGACTGACAGAATACCAGTCCCTACTCTCACAGGCTAACACAAGGAAACGAGCGTCTAGATAAACCAGTTCAATGGAATTTTGGATACAGTACTGTGATAGAACTGTACACAGGGGAGAGAGGGGTCAGTTCTGTGTGTTCTGAGAGTTGGACAGATCTATTGAAAGGCTTTATAAAGAGGATATGCTTCAGTGGAGGCTTGAAAAGAAGGGTTAAGTACTTCTAAGTGGCCGAGAGAGAGAGCACACACAAAGAAGGGTATTGAGTTGAGAACCAGTGCTACATTTTGGCAGCTGCCAGCAGTTCGTTGTGGTTGGAGGGTCATGTATAAGAAGGGGCAAGAGATAAGGCTGAAAAGTCAGGCAGGGTGCCAGCTGATGAAGCACCTCGTACTTCATGCCAAGGCATTTATTATACCGTTGTAGGTAGGCAATAGGAGCCCTTAAAGAATTTTAAGTCAGGAAGTAACATTATCAGATGTGTTGTAGAAAAATAATTCTGACTACATACAGAGAGCGGATCGGAAGAATGAGATGAGAAGCGGAACAGACTATTAGAAGGCTGGCGAATGGTATAGGCCGTGAGTGGCGGCCTGTGGTGTAGCAGTGAAGTTAGGGCAGAGGCAGAACAGAGAGCTGATGGGGCGGCATCAGCACGCGAGAGGATTTTTTAAATCGGTCTGGTCATACGCTTTATTCAAAACAACAGCCCAAGAGAACAGTTTGTAGTTGTTGTTAATTGCCAGATTCATGATAGAGTATAAATTCTAGAAGAATCAGAAAATGCTTATGGAAATGAAATGTTTTTATTTCGTTTTCAAGTGATTTCTATTTCTATAGAACGGGAGAGAAATAACAAAATATTGGGATTAGTTTGTTTTCTGTTGTGGTGTTTTCCATAAATACCAGGAAAAAAAGATTGTGATGAATTCTATTTATACTGAATATACAACTCAAACTATATTCTTAGTATTTGCCATTCTCCTATCATAATAATCCACCTTTGGAGTATTACTGCAGATCAGATATACTTTGTCTTAGGTAAATAATGACATTCTGAAATACTAGCCTTGTTTGTTTGTTTGTTTCATTCCTGGTGTATGAACTTCCCTTTAAGAAAGGGATTTAATCTCAACTAGTGGAGATTGTTCAGGGATGTCTAACTGAGTTACTTACTCCTTCCAGGGTGTTCCTGAAAAGAAAGTACTTCCCATCACCGTGCCCAAGTCACCAGCCTTTGCGTTAAAGAACAGAATCCGAATGCCCGCCAATGATGAGGTGATTCCCTGGGGCAGGGGTTTCTTCTTCCTTCTGCGTAATCAGCCTAAGCATTACTCTTTCTTCAAACTTCGTGGAACTGCAAGGCAGTCATTCTTGTCCAGGGTTGTCTTTAACAGTGGGTCTAAACATTTGATCATTGCTTTTGCTCCTTCAAGAGCAAAGTCATTGATAAGGGTATGAATTTTCTGTCTTGCAGTGGTAACTGTTTGCAACTTATTGGAGCATTTTAATGTGGATCAGAAGTCGCCAATCCCTGTGCTGTGTTTGCCTGAACTATTGTCACCATTCACTGAGGGCCTTTAAAAATTTTTTATTTATTGATTGATTTGGGGGGGGGGAGAGAGAACATCTATTTGTTGTCCCACTTACACATTTATTTGTTGCTTCTTGTACGTGCCCTGACTTGAGATCGAACCTGCCACCTTGACATATCGGAACGACACTCTAACCATCTGAGCTACCTGTCCAGCGCACTGAGGGGCTTTTAAAGTCCACACCATGCAGTTGCCTTTTGCCCTGCCCTATCTTCATTAACCCAAGGGTTGCAAAGGTGACTGTTGGGATATGGTTCCTGAAACTGGAATATGTGAACTGTCACTGATCGGGCTAGTTTCTTGTTACATCTCAATTTTATCTATAAATATCAAGAGTTAGGGTAATTTTATAGCAGATCTCAAGCATAAGCCTTTTTATAGGTTCGTTTGAAACTGAAATACACAGTAATCTTATGTTACCAGTTTGAACCCAAACAACTTACTCGGTCCTATTCTGGGTTTGGCTTCACACTGACTCCCAGTCACATGGTTTAGTGGGTCCAGATGGAGGGTGGGTCACAGAGGAGGCCAAGTTGTGTGCTCGGTTAGTACTTTCTCTTCTTCGTTTTATTCACATTGTTTGATTTTGTTTACTTTTTACCATCTTCCTCTGGAAGACTTTAGATTGTTTAAGAGTAGTTGTGTTAGTCCTTTATCAAATGCTTTCATATTGGTCTCGCCCCTGTGAACCGGTCGGTTACTTTGATTCACAAGGAAACAGACACCAAAGAGGTCGAGTGACTTGCCTTAATTAGTGACTTCTCTCCTGTAATGTCCTCTGACTACACATCCTGAGGAGGCGAGAGTGAGCGGTCTCGTTTCTAAACTGCAGTTTTTCTTGTAGGAAGAGGAGCCAGTAGTGATAAGAGCTCAACCCGTGCCACATTTTGGGGTGCCTTTTAAGCCCCATATCCCAGAAGCAAAAACTGTGGAAATATGCCCTTTCTCATTTGATTCTCGAGACAAAGAACATCAGTTACAGAAGGAAAAGAAAATAAAAGAACTGCAGAAAGGGGAGGTAGGTGTGTCCATTTCTACCAATGGCCAACACTGTTCTTTGACTCCTCAAAGATCATCTTTCACGTTGCGCTTCCAATTCACTGACTTCCTTCGATCCCTTCATGAAATGCAAAGAGGGCACGTGATTTTAATAACCTTTCTGGGACAAGGAGGCTAAGTGACTTGCCCATGTTTATGTTGCCCTCCTATTATTGGGAGGAAAACCTAGGTTTCCTTTCAAGCACATTATTCTTTCTGCTACGTCATGCTGCTTTAAAACTGGCCTTTCCCACTTTTGCATTTAGATTCATCCAAATATTCTGCTGCAGCTATTGCTTCCCGGCTTGAAAGGCCTTATCTTAAATCTTATGTTTTCTTTTCTATCAGGTACCCAAGTTCAAGGCACTTCCTTTGCCTCATTTTGACACTGTTAGCCTGCCCGAGAAGAAGGTGAAGAATGCAACCCAGGTTGAGCCTTTCTGCTTGGAGACTGATAAAAGAGGTGCCATGAAGGCACAGACTTGGAAGCATCAGGTGAGGGCTTGGAAGAGCAGCTAGGATGTTAATGACTTGTTTGTCGATTTGTTAGAATGGGTAGACCTACTACATTGCAATTCATTTGGGAACTAATGCATTGGATTATTTCAGAGTCTCCACTCTAAATCAGGGGTCGGCAAACTTTTCCTATAAAAAAACAGATAGTAAATATATATGTTAGGTCCCGTTGGCTACAAAAGATGTCTGTCATGTAGTGTGTGTGCGTTTCCACTCCAAGATTGTGACCGTCTCTCTTAGCTCGAGGGCTGTGCAGAAGGAAGTTGCGAGCTGGCTGCAGTGTGCTGACTTTCACTCTAGGTGCTCATCTCGAGAACGTGAGAACTGTAGGCATTTTCTGCATCGGGAGTTTAAGATCCCGTCCATCAGACTTGTTCATTAAACGTTCGTTCGTTTTCTTGGTGCGTAGTGAGAAGCGGTGTGGTGGAAACATTCTCCACACGGTACGCCGCCGTTTTGTCAGCCTGAGTACTGTTTGCTCTTTATAGAAGACAGGTAGTTAAACACGATTCACTGGTTTTGGCTAGTTTAACTGGAATCTAATTCGGCCCTATCTGGAAAAGATTTTTCCTGAATTCCTAAGTTTGTCAGTATTTTTATATTGTCACTTATCTTGGACTGTGTCCAAAAGGAGCTCTGGGCTAATTTTTGTAGGAAGTCACCCCTTTTGCAGCCCAAGAAATGTGCTCGCTGACATGACTGAGTGTAGGCTCCTGTTGGTGCGTTTTCTAGGGAAACTTAGGACTGGCGCTTAGAAAGCACTAGTTACTTTCAAGGACCATGACATAGAGTGTCCATGGGAGGTATTTTCCATGATTAAAAAAATCTTTTTTAAGTTTTTCAGACATACAGTAGACAAAATTCTACTTTTTCAGACAAAAGTAGAATAGTATAGTGAACTTTCATGAACCTGTAACCTGGTGCTGTAGTGATCAAAACATGTAAAATTTTACTTCATCTATAGTTCTATCCACTTACCTCTATACTGGATACTTCTACTTACAGATGATTACTTTGAAGCAAATCCTAGGTATCTCCTCATTTCATCTAAAAATACTTCAGTGTGTATCTTCAAAATATAACGGTTTGAAAAACCATAGCCACAATACTATCATTGTAGCAAAAACATTAACAGTAATCCCTTAATGATGACAAGTAGTCAGCATTCACATGTCCCCAGATCTCTCAAAGTTTTTAAAATAGTCAAATTGTTCAAATCAAGATCCAGGTAAGGTCCACATATAGCATTTGATAAATCTCTAAATCCCTTTTAGTCTATAGGCCTGTCTGCTTGCGTTTCTCATGTTGTGAACTGGGTTGACTATCCGATAGCTTCCTGTGATCTGGCCTTGGGTCACTGCGCTCCCGCGGTGCTGTTCGCTGCGTTCCGCTAACGCTGCATTTCCTGTACATGAGTAGTCGTGTCAGGAACCTTAACTGAAGTCTGGTTAATTTCTCTCTTGGGATTGGGGGGGAGAATACTTTGTAACTGATCACATCTGGGGGTATATAATGTCTACTTTTGGGGGGTGGGGCTGTTAAGGCCTTAAAATTATAGTTGACTTGAACAACATGGGTTTGAACTGCACGGGTCCACTTATGCCTGGATTTTTTTCAGTAATATTTTCTCTTCCTTACTTTCTTAATATTTCCTTTTCTGTAGCTTAATTAATTATAAAATACAGTATATAATACGTATAACATACAAAATATGTGTTAGTTGACTGTGTCATCAGTAAGATTTCCATTTAACAGTATGCTATTAGGAGGTAAGTTTGGGAAGAGTTGAAAGTTCCGTGAAGATTTTCAACTGTGTGGGTGGTTGGTGCCCTGATCCTTGTGTTTTTCAGGGGTCAGCTGTATCTTAAAGATACTTTCTAGTTCTCCGTGGGTTTAAATGATGTCAGTCTGCTCTGCTCATTGTACAGGGGGTTGAACTGGGGATTGGGTTCAGTTGTCTGCTGTCTTTGTGGATGCTGCAGTTAGAAACACGAACTTGAGTCACGGAGGCGGTGGTCACAGCAAGTTGTCTGACAAACTCTCTTCCTAACAGCTGGAGGAAGAGCTGAGACAACAGAAAGAAGCAGCTTGCTTCAAGGCTCGTCCAAACACCGTCATCTCGCAGGAGCCCTTTGTTCCCAAGAAAGAGAAGAAACCCACCGCTGGTAGTATTCCATGTACTCTCGGGGGGGTTGGGGCAATGTCGTCGGACTTCCCCGGTGGAATACCTGGGACTCGATGTGTCATTGCAGTGCTGTTGTCAGCCAACAGCATTTGCCTGTAGAGGATCCAGTTTTTCTTCTCCTGGAGCAGGTCTTTTACTTTTGTTGAACCCAGCAGCTATGTTGAATGGCAGAATGTGTTGGGGCCAGATTCATAGAGCAAGAGCCTGGGCAAAGGCAGCTGGCATTCCAGTGACAGTTAAGGCTTTACCCACCTGACGAGTAACCAGTGAGAGAGGGAGGGAGAGTCAGGACTCTTCTGGAGTTTACTCTGGAGCAGGCCTTGGCTACAAAACATTTGGTTCTTTAAGCACTGGGCAGGATGTCAGAAAACGGGTTCTTACGCATCCCTCTGTCTCACAGTCACTGTGTGGCTTTGAGCAAGCTGCTTGACCTGCGTGGGTTTTGCTTTTCTCCTAATTGGTTAATTTCCAGGGGCCCTTCCAAGTTTGAAAATTCTGAGACTTTCTGTGTGTCGTTGACTCCACCTTTCTTTCAACAAGGCTTCTGTAGTGCTCAGCCCTTCTCTTGCCATGCATGTCTGTGCCCCTTGCTAGAGCAGTAGGGCCAGGTTTATGCAAGCCCTGTACCAATGTTCTCTCTGTTTCTGTACTCAGAGGGCCTTTCTGGTTCTCTAGTTCAGGAACCTTTTCAGCTGGCCACTGAGAAGAGAGCCAAGGAGCGGCAGGAGCTGGAGAAGAAAATGGCCGAGGCAGAAGCCCAGCGGGCACAGCAGCTGGAGGAGGCCCGGCAGCAGGAGGAGGAGCAGCAGAGGAAGGAGCTGGCCAGGCTCCGGAAAGAACTGGTAACGGGTGGCAGGAGTGCTGACTAACCCACAGTTGTCCCTGGTCTGTTTTATCTGCGCCTCGTCTTGGTCTGGAGAGGATCTAAGGTGGCCACATGGACACATCAGAGAGCAGTGGGAGCAGGAAATCCCACACATCGAGGGTGGTGACAAAGCGGAGATGTGAACTGGGCTCAAGATGTGTGCACTGTGATCCATGTATCTGCAAGTTTGAGTCGTCCTTCTGGCCCTTTTAGGGACCAGCCTGTCGGTTACAAAACTTACAGTGTTCATCAGATAAAAATAGGCCAGCTGTTTAAAAATAATGCATTTCTCCTTGGTATTGAATTCAGACAGAGTTACTTCATAAGGGTCTTCATAAGGGGGAAATCATAAGGTATACAGTGATGATTATTTAACTTATTTCCTTAAGAGTATTCATTGGTTATGAAAACCAATGTATTTTACAATTAGATAAAAATAAATAATAGGGGAGGACATGAGAATTGAGCAGTAACTATTTTCATTTTCCTCTTAACACTTAAGTTCCTTAGCATCACAGTGCATGTTGGTCCATGTGACTCTAATACTAGCATTACCATTCAAATATTAGTTATCCGAAAAGGAAGCTGGATCCTCATTAGAGGACCCTTTTTCTAGGAGTGCAGCAAGCCACATTAACGGCATCAGTGAGGATGAGGACGATTTTAGGTAGGACCTCATATGATTAATAAAGAGGGAACATAGAAATACATGAGTTGTTGAGGTTTTGTCTAAAAACGCCAAGCCAGCAGCTGATCCAGCAGTTTGCAGAGGTGACTGGCTGCAGGAAGGCTCTCAGGACACACTGTTACAGGGACTAGCTTCTCAGCAACAACCAAGCTACCTTATGATTGAATGAAAAAAAAAGAATACAATCCCCACTCCAGATATACTCAGAAAACCAAACCTTTTTCTACCCTCAGTTTCTTTGATTTTCTTCAACACTTGGTTCTTGTTTCCTGTGTTCGTCCCCATCATGGAGCTGTTTCTCACAGCGAAGCGCAGTGTAGGCTGAGAGCGCGGTTCCGCCAGTGCTAGTCAGCTCTCTGAGCCCGGCCCCCGAAGGATGGACGGGACCAGGCATTCTCCCAGCAACCCTCCCTAGCTTTTGTTTGGGGTTTTGTTTTTCGTCTGTGCTTTTGTTTAATATTAAGGCTCAGTGCGCTTGAGACTGTACTCTAGCCAATTCTTAACACGTATCTCTTTTCTGCTGAAATTGAGTGTGCTCTTATCACACCCTAGTAATAACGCTGAAGCTGGAGATATGTGTGATATTCTTGAGTCTAAGCTGAGGGATCCAGCAAGACCTGAATAGAAACTACTTGGGCTCTTCAACTCATATGCTTTTCCATTATACTGTGTTGCCTTTTTTCCCCTCTCTTTGAGTATGTGACTGGGATCTGTAAAATTGTGCATACATTTTCTCAAGGGGGGAAAAAACCCATAAGCGCAGTTTTCTAACATCCTTATCAGTGGTAACTTTGTACCCCTTACTTTGCAGGTGCACAAGGCAAACCCAATACGCAAGTACCCGAGCGTGGAGATCAAGTCAAGTGAGCGGCCTCTGACTGTGCCTGTGTCTCCCAAATTCTCCACTCGGTTCCACTGCTGAACTCAGCTTCGAGCTGCGGGCGCAGCCTGGGAGCGGAGCCACATTTTCCATCGCGCCAGGGACTGCCTCCCTTTGTCCATCAGGGGCATGGAGAGAAGCCATTTCTTCAGACTGTTACCTACCCATGCCCGACAGAGCGTGCCCGACAGCTGCTGACTGTGTTGAGAACTGTGACCCTACATTGTTCAGGCTGATAGTGAGACTCAGCCCAAGTGTGTCTCGGTCAGACTCCATGTCGGTACTTCTTTGACCCATCAGTTGACCTTCAAAATGGGGTTTAACTTTGCCTAGGATGGAAAGTCTTTATATCAGCACAGTGTAATTTCTCTTGTCCCTTCCCTAACTGCCCCACCTTTTTTTTTCTATTTTAAATCAGAAAATAAAGACAGTTAAATATTGAGATAGGATTTAACTTACGGCTTCAAGGAGGAACAGTCAGTATATCAGATTCTTGCCTCTTCTCTCCACAAGATAAATTTAGAGTTAAGGGGCTCTTTGCCGTGAGGGGGAAGCCCCATGAGCTGCACGTGAGGAAGGAGACTGTGTGGGCTGGTGGGGACCCTCAGAGCGCCTGGCGAGCTGCAGGCCGAGTGCTGTCTAGGCCCGCTCTCCTGTCCTTGTGCTAATAGTGACGGGGAGCGCCCAGCGCACCTGTTAGGTCCTACAGTGACCCGGCTGGAATAAATATGTCTGTCTTCCCCTCCCTGGTTTTGTTATTTGATGTCTTAAAATTTGTCCAGTCCCTTTTTGAGGAAAAGGGTACTTTGAGAGGAAGGTTCGGGTAGCAGTAAAGTGCTTTGCAACTTTTTTCTGTTTTATGTCAGAGTGTCCTTCCGTACGTGTGGACTTCCTCCCAGGGAGCACCGCGAAGGCGGTCGTGTGTGCTGTACCTTCGCACAGACTGCGCCTTCTTCCCTAAATGTGCCTTTTCTCGTCTGGTGAACTCTTCCTTATAAGACTCAGCTCAAGAAAAATTTTTTCCATAAACCCTTCCTTGACCATCCGACCTCCCCAGATGAGGATGGCTGCTGCTTCGGGCCTGCCCAGTGCTTCTTCTGTGTGTCTAGTGCAGCAGCTACACCGCTGAAGCCCTTGGACTTGTTTACAAACCGGTAGAGACACAGATATCTAAAATTATCTCGGTTATCTCTCTATTTCTTGTAGCTGGCACAGCATCTTCTAGGTCCATATTAAAGAGTGTACTCTCTCTGAGACCTGACATTATTTATGAGCTCTGCTCTGTACCAGTCATATTCTGCCCAGGCCAAGTCCTATGCCCCGTGGGTAATATTAAACCTAGTTTATATTCCTTTCGTTTATTCACTCAATGACCATTGTGTACAAGCCATTGTAGATTTAGCAAGACATGACTTGCAGATCCCTGGGCCTCCTGAAGGCCCACAAACTGATGCAAAATACGGTTCCTTTTTCACTGCTTGGATGTGTGTGGCATACAGTTCCATAACTTCTTACGTAGTTCACTTAACAAATAATTTGGTGCCAACGTTATGTAACTTGGCATTGTGCTAGTCTCTGGGAATACAGCAGTGAACAAAAATAGAAGGCCTTGTCTTCACTGAGCTTACCTTTTATGGGGGAGACAGGTAATAAGCAAGGAACCATCCTGTTCTGTCAGGTGATAAACGTTTCCCCAACTCCTGTGTGGAGAACGGACGAGGGCAGGAGCCGCGGTGGGAGGTGGGAAATGGGGGCTGCAGAGGTGCTTCAGTGGTCTGCAAGCCGGGCGTGGCTCAGGCGGTGTGGTAGCGGCAGAGGGCGAGAAACGGTGGGATTCTGAACGTATTTGGAGGTTGTGACTGGCAGCACTTGCTGACGGATTGGATGTGCAGGGAGGGGGGAGTTGAGGAGGGCACCCAGGTAGCCACCAGAAACAGAGTTCTCCACCCCTTGTCCTCTGAGAAATCTAGTTCAGCCCCAGGCCTCTAATCTCCTGTGGATTCTCCGGGGGCTTCATTTTTCTTGTTTTTCTGGTTGCCTTTTGCTTTGGTTTTTCATTTTCTGTTCATTTGATCCCCTCTCCTGTATTGCTTTTCTCCCTGCCTATACCAGCCTTCCCCTTCTAACAGGTTGCTGTTGCTCATATTTCCATCTGGTATCGTTTTTCCTGCTGTCCATTTTTTGTTTTTGCTTGTTTCCAGTAGGAGAATAAATCTGGCCCTCGAGTGGAGGGGTTTGGAAAGAGCATTATTGAGAATTACAGACTCATGGGGTCCCTTCTGCCCATTTGCTTCACTCAGCATTATCTCCTCCAAACACATCTGTGTCAGAGTGGTTATACATGACGGTCATTTAGCAGAGCAGATAGCTGGAAATTGAGACGCAGCTATCCATGGCCTCTTCCCAGAATTTCGTGGGTTCCCAGGGGCCCCCTGTTTCTCTGAGCACAGTCTGTAGTATCAGGTCCTCTCTGGGCTATCTCCCTTCACCGTTCTGGCACAGCCTCCCAGGTCCCCTGAAACTCCCAACTCCCCACTCTTTGCAGAGAAATTCAGCTTTATCCACTCAGGCCATGTCCTGCAAGGAGCCTCTCAGCACTCGGAGGCCGCTCTGCAAGTTTTCTAAACCAAGAACCTGGCCAGTAGGAATTGACTGAATTCTGAGAAATCTGGCCGTCACACTTCGCTTGGCAATTTCACAAAGTTCCTAGCTTATGTGCATTGTTGGAATTCCCACGCTCTCTGGAAAGGCCTCTGTTTTCTGTGTTGTTTTGACTTGGTCAAGGTTTCCCTTTGCTAAACTGAGCTAATTTAAACACTTAGAAGATCATTGTCCCCCCCTTACTCTGGTTGACTGGTTCTCGGGTAATTTAATTGCTTTGTTGCCACCTTGGCTGCTGTTTTACCGCTTGCTGGCTGTTTCCCACAGAGCTTGTCCCTGGGAGGTGGAGCTTGGGTGGTAGACGGGCAGCGGATGCAGTCACCCCATCAGTTAACAGAGATGAGACCTGTACACAAGGGGTTGGGAAACAGGATTGTATGGGACTGAGCAACATGAGACAGACGGGCAGAACAAGTGCACAGGGAGATTCTTGTTGGGGGCGAGGTGGCAGTTCTTAAAGATGTTTCTTTTTAAGTAAAAATTACAAAAGTAGTACTGCCTTTTGGGAACAAAATGATACTGATTATGTAGAACAAAACGGCAAACATCTCTTAACTTCCTCTATTCCCATTCCTCAGGAGAGACCCACAGTTAACAGTCGAGTATTCTTCCAGAAGGTATTTTTATGTATACACAGATTTATAGAGCATTTGTCTTTTTACAACAAAATGATTATAGCATTCTGCGTTTCAGTTTTAATTTGTTCTTTAAAAGGTTATGCATCCACATGGTTCAAAATTCAAAAGCTGCCAAGTAAAGCCTCCCACTTCTCCAGCCGCTCGCTCCCCTCCCGAGACATTGCTGCCGGGTGTCTTTTTCTGCAGAGATGGCTTCTGCATGTACGATTTCTACCCCTTCCCTCCTCTTTTACACAGAGTGTCATATTCTGTACCTCACTCTTCTCATGGTCCTCATTGAATGACGTGGTCAGGCTGCCACCGTGAGCCTGTCCTGGCTGGCTTCCCAGTTGAAGGCCGAAGCCTCTTAGGAGAATCTAGTGACATGGAAGCTGATCTGTAGTGGGGTCTTGTGCTCCACACCTTGTCCCAGGCTAGTGACCTCAGGTCCAAGGACTTGAGGGCAGGTCAGCAGCACCTGGGCTTTTAGCTCCCAGTTTGGCTGAGACTTGAGGGCTTGCCGGCTTGCATATCTGGTCAAACCTGTGTATCCCTTTAGGTAAATCTTGACATTGCTTTCTTTCCATGGACTTCCCTTCTGAATATCGTCTCCCAGGGAAGTTCCTCATTGCTGAGAGTAGCAGTTAAAAAAGCCATTAGCCACGCAGTGGGGCTCCGATTTCTGCACAGACAGGCTGAGTTACAGCTCGGTGGTACGGATCCAGGTAGGAGTTGGTCAACATTTGGAATCCTGAGCTGCCATCTGCCCTGCAGCCTGCTGGGATGGTCAGTTTAGACAACATATAAAGTTTCCTGGATACGGGTCAAGCCCAGGCCTATGGAAGGAGCAGGGAGGGTAAACTGTGTGGTGCTTTGGGCGGTGACGAAGGCGTAACCAGGGAGCTGACATGTTTGCTCTGGCGCCAAGAATTCCAGGACAATTTGTTATCCAGCTGAAGCCAATATAGTTGCACAAAAAAAGAAGCCGAGGGACAAAAGCATACTTTTTCCTTGTTGCCTTAGTCTTCTTGCATATCCACTCTTTTCTAGTCCTATATGGAATGTTACCCACATCGAAAATGTCTGGTGATATTTGCCATTCTCATGCAGGAGAGTAAGAGGCTGGGCTCAGGCCAGAGCCTGGCTTTTATGTGCCGAAGGTGTCAGCTTCCTGAAAGGGCTTGACAAATGCAGACTTCACTCGCAGAAACCACAGTTGGGGGGCAGGGGTAAAAGGCTTAGGGTTAGGAAAAGACTAGATTTTATTTAGGAACCGTTTCTCCAGGTTAAGCCTAACCTTAGCATATCCGTTGCCCTCTCCCCTTTCTTTAAACTTTCATTAGAAAGGAAATAAAACTGGATGTGTCTGATCTGCCGAGACTCACATAGTGATGGGACTGGTATCCCAAAGTCACGGGCAGGTGTGCGGATGTGCCAGCCTCGGTAGCCGAGTGCCGTGGTCCAGCTTGTCTGGGCACCAGTGGTATTTTCTCAGGTCTTTCAAGAGCAAAGGTGGGAGGTGTCGTTTGCAATCGGTCAAGACGTTGAATAGTCTGGTCGTAACTTGTGCTGTGAAAAGCAGTTTGGGCAGCATCGTTCAGGCTCGTGTGGTGGTAAAGAGATGACGTCTCTGGCCAACACTGACTGTCCCTTACAGGCACTCTGTCACTAAGTCCCTAGGAAATGACCTTAAATTTGCCCTGTGCAAAAATCTCACAGCGTTGTTATTTTCAGTTTTTAAATTGGGGTCTCCTGTTAATTGGATACAATTTGGAATATGCCTGGTAATAGGAAGAAAGAGAAGAAAAATCCATGCTCCCATCACTCATCTTGAACACTGGTGTTTCTTTGTTTAATCTCTTTTCTCCTCGTGTAAAACTTTAGTCTGTTTTTCTGCATTGTAGGTGTTTATATATAGTTTGTATGCTGCTTTTTTTTACTTACATAGCAGTAACTCAAATATTTTTTTATATTACTGCATACTTTGTAAATACCGATTTTAACAGCTGCATGCGTTCCATTGTTTTGAGTTTGCTTGTCTCTGTTGAAAATGCTTGTTTTGCAAAGGATTTTTTTTAAGACTCTATTTATAGGACAGATTTGTCTTTATTTGCTTCCCTCTAATGTATCATGTCTGTCTCAACTTTAAATGACTGTTTCCAACCACTTAGTTAAACTTTGTAAATAAAATATTAAAAGGAAATGTAATCCCCTCTCCAAAGCACAGTTAATGGCATCATTATCCTGGCATTCCCGTTTGCAAAGTGGAAAGTTCCCTTTGGCTGATGTGCTAGCGATGTTACTGGCATTCATGCCCCACGAAACGTTCATTGGCACCTAGCAGAGCCTCGCTGGAGAGGACTCTAGTTGTGTTCAAGTCTCGGAATGCTGCATCTCAGACACAGTGGGGTGTTACCTCTAAGCCTTCGAGACTTGGAAGAACGCCCTTCGTCCTAACATTAGCTGGG